ACAACACAAAACTGTGAAATCCTAAATTTTTGTCAATTACAGGTGTCAATGAAGTTTTCATTGGGGCCTTTGAATTAAATTATGACAAGAAATGGGCTTGGCTTGGGACTGGTAGAGAGCTGGCTTACAGTAACTGGAACACAGGTGAGCCATCAGACCACAAATTTTCATCAAACAACGAAAAGGAAGCATGTGCTGTGATGTTCACCTCTAATGGGAAATGGAATGACATCCTGTGTGACTCTCCAACTGAATTTCATAGTTTCATTTGTGAGATAAGATTACCATGAGAAATAGGAAATAAAAACACTTTAAAGAAATTAATAGTTAAAATACATCAGAGGCAAAAGTGATCAACTGAATTAAATTCAGCTTTCACACAAACATTAAGAAAACATGATATCAAATTTTCATGCAATCTTTAGTAGATGTTATATATCTTTGATGTATTTAAGACCTGGTCACATGGTAGCACTGGTAATTGTGTCTAATAGCCCTGAGTGCCACATATGCTGTAGCGTGGGTTGTATTATCCCCAGGGAGATGAGAAAGAATTAGAATTGAAACCAATCTATAATTACCAGGCATATATTACACTATGTGCTTGATGATTTATGATATATTTCTGTGTATGCATGCAATATAAAACATAGATTGCAAAGAAAGAAAGAAATATACCGTACCTTTATAAACTAAGGTCACCATACATTATTTNCTTGACCTGCGTTTTATGAATATTCATCAGCTCTGTGAATATAAAGCCAAAAAGTAAAACTGCCCTCCACTAATTGTGTTTACAAGGAAAGTGCACGGCGCTGGCATCGGCATCGGCATCGCCATCGCCATCGGCGACGGCGACAACAGACGCAGGTGATGGCAATATGTACAGACACATCTGTGTCTGTACATATATTAAAAAAAAGACAAGAAAGAGAAAAACAAATAGCAAAACTATTTTACATTTTTCAGAGTGCTTACAATAATTTACAGAAAACTTTGTAGGGGTCATTTTATCAAGCACTTAAATAAACCAAATTTATTTTGTTGCTAAGGTAGCATGCTGTTTAAAACCAACTATACTCATCATCTCCTTTTTATTCTAAGTTTATGTAATCGACAGTACATGGTTGTTGACTCATTTCAGTGGAATGTGGCCTTACAAAAACATTTTTAGCGTATAAACCATACACTACAGCTAGTACAGAAGAAGAAGGAAGATGGAGTTTCACAGTGAGATCAAAAGTCCATAATATGCCAACTGTAAGTAAAAACATTTAACTTCCAAGGTTTACTTCCTTTTCAAATTTATTAAGCTGATTTTACTCCAAAAATACAAATAGTAGCTGAGGTGTATCTCATAATTGCATAGTAGTTCATTTAAGACTTTGCTCCATCATACCAAATAGTTCATTCAGCTAAGTGCTGTATTGGGATAAACAATTCCAGAATATTTTCTATTTTTTTCTATTTCAAAAATTAACACTGATTTGGAAATGTCCAAGTTTCAGAGTCACAAGACATTGCCCGGAGCCCAAGTTATGCTAAATCATTTTAGTGTTACTAAACAAGTCTCATTACACAGGATTTATAGGTTTTACAGACAATGTACCTGTATTCAGCTGTGCTAAAAAGGCTGCCAAATGAAAAGTTCAGATAGCTAATGTACATTACACCAAGAATGTAACTTGATACAATTAAGTGAAATTTAGAGTTGCAGCACAGCAGATAAGTCATTCAAAGTCAATCGTGCAGAAAACATTTCAACCTACATATATATAATACAAGTATTCATCTTAACCTTCAATTTTGTTTTCTCCAGTATTTATACAAAGTAATAGTTGTAATAAAAAGCAAGATAATCTCTGAAAAGATATCACATTGCAGTAAATGCAGGTTGAATATCAGTAATTCTGCTTTCATAAATCTAATGCCCAACGGCTAGGCATGCTTTATACAACTATAGGCTGTAATTTCCTGCTCTACTGAACATGATGGAAATGACAGCAAGGTGGAACTTAAGTCTTCCAACATCCTTGTATGATTCAGACTTAAATATCAAGCTAAACAGAATGATGTTCAAGTTATAAGGAAAGAAAATTTTAGTTTTTGGCTGCAACTACATTAAATCTTCACAGGTGAGTACAGTATTGATCTGTAGTGAAGAGGGGTGGGGAGAAGTGAAAAGCCACATTTTTGTAAAATAATTTATCATATTCCTTATGTCTACCAGTTTCTTTCATTTTCTAAGGAACACTCGTTTAGAGACCATTCCCACAGATATTTAGATTGATCTATCCTCCTGGGGAGTCTCACTAGATTGCTGTGCGCGCTTGGCTCCCAGAAGCTGACAGCAATTTAGCGTGAACCCCCAGGGAGTTAGGTTGATCCAGATGGATCGATCTAAATCTGTGGGAACCCAGTCTTAGATGTTTTCAAACAGTACATATCACAGATACAGATATTATGTCAGACAATTATTGTACTTACTGGGTGCCATTGATGGTCAAGGTGATATTTCTTCCCTGTCTGTCCAGTGAGATTATGTGCCACACTTTCCCAGTGATGGGAACAGATGTCAGGGTTACATCAGCATCTCCTATTTTTTGAAAAGAAATTGGCAAACATATCAATGACGAAAAAATTACTAGAAAAAATTATGTTGGACAGCAGATATTGATATGACTGAGTAACAGGAAAAAGACACAAGTACAATATTTAAAAGTAATGTATACAAGCAATCAAACATTTAAAATATACCATTCAGTCATTTTAATCAAAAAGCTGATTGCTAAAAGGAGTAGTCTAATACAAAACAAGAGGCATAAATATACTTCCAACAGAATTGTGCAAGTGTAACATAGGTGTTCAACATAATCTTTAAAAAATAATACTTTTACTAATTTTTAAGCCATACTTATACACCATAGCTAAGTACAAACTGTGACAATTTTCAGACACGACTTTCTAAATGCACTCACCTAAACTATACCTGACTTGTAGCTGGCTTTGAATCATCATTAAAGCGAGATAATCCCCTGCAGCAGTTTGATCAGACAGGAATAAAACCAGACCATCATTTGCTGGTGTGAACTCAGAGCGTAATATCAGGCTAATGGTAAGGTTCTGAAGCACTGGGATCTCATCTGGTAGGAGATACTTGATGTAGGAATTGTTGTAGAAAGCAGTAACATTAAAACTGGTTGCTGAAAACAGATGTAGATGAAATATCAGGGCTTAGGGAAAACAAAAATTATCTACAGGCGGATAGTAAAAATGCTGTTTTAAATTGGGTAAAAATAAGTAAATGAAACAGACAATGCCACAATTTTCAATCAAAAAACATTTTGGTTTTCAAATTGTTTTCATTGACATTAACCTACCAGAAAGGACGACATGCATCTTAATCATAAAGAGATCTTACAGCAACCTTTGTGCATTCTTTACTGTCACAAAATTTTGAAAGATTGTCACCTTGATAGAGTTGAGCATTATTAACTGATGTTGATACATATTAAAACATGCAAACTATGTGCCAGATTCTAATCTCAACCTTTTTTTTTCCCATCCAAACCATCTAAACCGCTTTATTTTTTTACAATCAAAACCTGCTGAAAAATACATTTTCAATTAATAAAATGACAGCATTTTCTCAAGTACAAGCATTAAAAATACTACCCCTTTGCTGATCACTTTAACTATTATTTATTTGAAATCTTAAAAAATCAAATGGCCCCATTCATTTTACCTACATGTGTTCAAACTTGGCACTGGGAACAAGAATATTAAATAATACTTTGAAGAAAAAAAGAATAACAAAAAAATGCTAAACTTAGTGGTTTTTCTCCACCGCCCCCCCGCCCCCCTTTAAAGAAAAACAAGTCAGGAGTGGGCAATACAGGTAACTATATAACATTATTATAATGCCAGCTAGGACAGTAAACTCTCATATCTCAACATCTCTCCTTGCTGCCTTTGCACTTAGTCAACATAAAGTCATCACCACGCTGACACACTTTGATGAGTCCAATGTTCACAAAGATATGTTCTGGGTCAGGTGATAAGTGGTCACTGCTGTTACAAACTGAGGTATATTGGGTCAGAACAAGTGCTATTCACTATCACAGGTAAATGCAGCTAAATATAAGAAGATTTTTCTCAGGTGGGTCGTTTTAGGTCTATTTATACAGTAAATATAGATATAATCAGCTGGAGCATTTCTATTTGTGGTTAATCTCTGTATGAACCTCAGCAGTAGATAAGAATAAAGTTCCAAGGCATTTCTCCCTCCACAGTTAGATAGTATAGGAGATATGACACAAAGGATGGATGGATGGACTCCTTATCTTAAATTAGTTGGGCGTCCCTAACACTCCTTTTTACACACCATGTGATGAAAACAGTGGATATTCAACTACAAAGTGCATTTTATCTGTGTGAGCAGAAAGGGTTTATGCCTGTCGGTCTTATTTGTCAAGGTTGGTGACATTGTCAGGACAATGTCATTAATAACAACTCTCTCAGGAAGCATGTGAGTAAGGCTGGCGTAACTTCACTGGGATTTTATATCTAAAAAAACATGTAAAACTGAGGTTTATGGCACAATATATAGTTATAACATTGACCTATATGATACAAAAAGGTAAAGAATACTTATTATTTCTGGTTCTTTTTTCATTTCAAATATGCAGTGTAAGGCAGATAAAAACAAAGATAAATAATATTACATCTTTAGACAAAAATAAAGATATCTCCAGTAATAAAACATCGTGAATATATTTTTTGCTTTGATAATAGGCTAGAAATAAGGGAATAATATCACAAAACTTGCTTTAATTAAACAACCTAGACAGCATATGAGATCAGCTTAAGCATGGAACTTGACAGTGTTCATACATTTCAGTATTGTAACACCATTCTATCTATATATATATATATATATATCTATATATATATCTATATCTATATCTATATCTATATATATATATATATAGAGAGAGAGAGAGAGAGAGAGAGAGAGAGAGAGAGAGAGAGAGAATATTGCTTGATATAAAGAATATGAACTGCATTTTTGTAACTTACATTTGTATTTATCTATCTGACTAACATTTAACATAACAAGTGTACACACTGACAATAATACTATCCTACAGTCTTCACCACCTGTGTATATCTAACCAATGTATGCCAGCATATTTGTTTTTTTGAAAAGCCACATATTAATTCTGTATCATTATATTTTACAGATACTAAGTCATGACAGCATGGTCTATTTTCTATCCAGCAGATTGAAAGGGGTTTTGGTGCTGTTGTTACTGTTCCAACTACCACTAGCCCTAAACTCATGTCCAAAATTCTGTGAATGCACCAATGGCCCCACAGTAATAAACTGCACAGATAGAGGGCTAAGCAATGTCCCTTTGTTCCCTAAGGAAAGTGTAAGGATTTACCTGGACAGAAACAACATCACTATCATCCAGGATGGAAAACTGAACCATTTAAACCAGTTGGAAAAGTTGACATTTGCAGATAATCAAGTGTCACATATAGATGCTGGTGCTTTCCATGGACTGACAAACCTGGAGGAGCTGGATCTTACTTATAACCAGCTTAGTTTTAAATTGCCAGGCAGCATGGATAACACCCTAGTTTATTCGAAAAAATCCATGCCACATCCCTGTAACATACTGCATGGAATGACAAAGCTGAAGACACTAAAACTGCAGCATAACAAACTGGGTAATCTGTTCAAAGAGGGAGCCTATGCCTGCATATTTCAAGATCAGGTTTATTCTTTAAAGACATTAGAACTATCTCATAACAATATATCAGGTTTGACCAATAATTTATTTTTAAACATGTCTTTGGAGTATCTAAATTTGAGTTACAACAGATTAATGTCAGTGCCAAAACTTTTTCAGAACCTGACATCTTTGACAACCCTAGACTTATCCCACAATGAAATCACCTGTGTTAACAATCTGAACACCAGCATTGTCAGTATTGATCTTAGTAACAATCCATTCAGTTGTTCCTCAGCCAAATGTATACAGAACCTAAAGGGTCAAAGTGAAAAATACAATCATTTTAGGGAGACTGGGAAATATGTGTGTCATACTCCAGAAAAATGTAATGGACAAGATATCTATGACCTTGACCTTACAAATCTATGTCAATCAGGTCTGAGCACAACAAAGAAAATCTTAGCTGGTGTCATGGGGTTTACAGCAGGGATGTTAACACTGGTTTCCCTGTGGATGTGCTATACCAGAAACCTTTTCAAAGTGTGTGTTGACAGATGGAGAAGTTTCCATTATAAAGAGGTGCCAAGAGATATTGCAATGCATCACATTTGAAATGGTCTCAAAGGCCACATTCCCATAGGATTTAGATCGATCTATCCCCGTGGGGAGTCTCACTAGATTACTGTCAGATAATCCAGTTAAATGTCCGTCCCACCTACTACAAGCTGTAAGGGGGCAATTAACTTTTGTGCCCGCTCGGCTGACAGCTATTTAGCGTGAACCGCCAGGGAGTTAGGTCGATCTAGTTGGATCGCTCTAATCTCTGGGAATGGGGTCTAAGAAAAATGAAAATAAGAAAATAAGTCTAAGACTTATTAGTCTTCATGTAATTTGACTAAAATTGTTCTGAAGGCTATCAAAAATAATTTTGCTACATCTTAGCTGTTATGATGTGGAAAATAAAACCCTTTTACTTAGTCATAACATGCCTGTTCCCTGCAAAATGAGCATATCATTACAGGAAATGTACATATACATATAAAATGTATTTCTTCAAACACTGTCTTCAGCTCAATATTGAAAATTACAAGTATTTTCAAGTTAGTGAATGTAATGAATACCGAGTAGCTATAAAGTGTTATTGCTTATAATTATGTTATCAGTGTCATGCTTAACAACTATATTATCTTATATGTATTGATTGTTAAGGGCAGATATTACAAGCAATTAAGATATATTGCAATGACAGCATATGTTATGCCTCAGTCTTGTGTAGCGTTCACTTATTTTTCTAGAATGCAGATTTTGGACTCTCAGTTACAGTCTATTGTGAAATGGTATTCAGACTGGATACTGAGGTACATTTGATCCATGTTTTAAGCAGTCCAATTGTCCTATCTATAACCTGCACATCTATCACAATCAACATTTTTTTTACATGACTACTCAAATTTTTATTGATGAATCTTTAAAAAATGTAAAATAGCTTAGTTTTAGTATTTCCTAAAGAACACTGCCAAATGCTAATAAGTGATATTTTTGTAACATAACACAAATGTACTCACTGTCGGTGCTAAATAGTGCACCGAGCAAGAATTTCTAGACTTTGAATATATGTTTGTAATATATATTATTTATGAAAAACTATTTTCCAATAAAATTTGTTACACCATGAGCAGAGCACTTGGTTGTCTTTATCTATGTGTAACAAATTGCAATTGTGTGGTTTATACTTTACCTTGCATGTAAATTAAAATTCGGATATTGTATGTAATTCAATCCACCAAATCTGAACTCGATGAAAATTTAAATTGTCCTCAACTATCACAATGCTGTGCATTAACACAATGGGCAGGTGTGGTTCCTTAATTATGCATTGTGCTGTTTCATTCAGTTCTCTTAAATGGCAGCTTAATCACCAACCTAGAGCACAGGTACTTCCAGCATAACCCAGGACATATACATTACTGCCCAGATTCTTCATAATCACCTACCTATAGCACATGTACTTCCAGCATAACCCAGCATACATCTACATTTCTGCCCATGTTCTGCATCAATATAGCAGTGTCCTCCACGTTGACATGGGTTGCTGTCACAGTCTGTCGCCTGACAGTCTTGCCCACTGTAACCACGGGAACAGTTGCATAGATACCCATTGCCATCCTGTTCTAAACACACTCCTCTCTGACTGCAGGTTACACCTAGAAACATAAAGTAAAACATAGAATTTATCAACAGGTAACACTTGTAAAATCCCATGTCCACAAGACAAATGTATTTCATCATCACATATTTGATCAAAATTTAAATTAATGTAATGTGTATTTGTATAAGATTCAATTAATACAATTTGTAGGTAAGAGAAATATAATTTCAAGTCACAGAACTTGAAACCCTTTGTGAGTGTGTTTCTTTTCAACAATAAACAGATTGTTCACTGTAAGGCAGATGGATAGACTTGCAACTCTCTTACCTGGACATACAGGTGTAAAACAAGCCTCTACATTGACTCCTCTCACTGCATCATTGATGAGTTGTACAGCTCTACCCTGAAGTGCCAGTTCCTCTACACAGCCAGTCAGGCTAGGGGAGATGATAGGGATGGAATGTGGGACACCTCCTGGTAGTTAAAATAGTATATTAGGTTAATGAAATAAGTATTAATCTGTTGTTTCAGTATTAAGCTGAATGGTTCATCAGGTAGTGGAAAAATTATTAATTTCATTTGGAAAAATAGAAGACCAAAAAGAAAACATAGCTTATTTATTTATAGTGCACAATACCATTTAAATGCTATTGCTTTTATCTGGAAAGTGGATTCAGGACTTCACAGTTTTGTAACAAACCTAGTAATACCCACCTAGATATACAGTCCATGTACCACTTAGAGTCTGAACACTGGCTCCAATGAACCCACTGTCACTATTGTCCACAGTCATGGAAATACCCATAGAGCTATGCTGTACATACACATTATGGGACTGACCATCACTGTACTTTAGACTACTGGTCAGTGTCACCCTGTCACCCTGCCCAAAGTCCAGATAAAAGACGATTTCTCCATTCTGAAGTGTTATGGCACAGTACAGACTGCCTGACTCTGCATAAAGTAAGAATCCATTGGTGTTGCTGGTCTTGAAGGTTAGGGATATGACCAAGTAGCCTGTCAGTACTTGTGAATATTCTAAGTAACTATTGCCCAGTAGGCTTGGGGTTCTTATTGTCACAGCTGAAATGGTAATTTAACTCCAGTTAACTATAGAATAGAATTGTTCAAGTATGCATTCATTTTACTAAACTTTAACTGGCAATTTTTGCTTCACCCAAGAGATGGAATTGGCTAAAGAAACTGGAAATCATGTGAACTTTTTTTTTGCACAGCATCACCACTGTTAAGATTTAGTGTAAGATTAATGAGACAAACTTGTTCATATCATCAGAAAAAAATGTGCTCTTAATACTTGCACTGCATTATTAAATAGCAGTCTTTTAAAACCTGTACCTTGCTGACACCTGTCCCCTTTCAGCCCCAGTGGACAGAGGCATTGGTAAGAGTTGCCAGCTATTCTACACACAGCTCCAGATGTGCTGCTTCCACAGGGATCACTACTACATGGTGTCTGCCCACACTGGGGGCCAGAGTAGGGGGTAAGGCAGTTACAGCTGTAGCCATTCACCTATGACAAGGATAAAAATAGTTTGCAAGGTTAACACTGTGTGCCAAATGGCAGTTTCGTAAATGATTTCAGTTACTGGTCATTGTTTCTGCAAAGATCCTGGTGGCCTGAAGGACCAGTGGGGTAAAAGTTTTTTCCCACCACCTGTACAATGGTTTCAAACTAATTTCTTCAAAATAGTCAAGCATCTTATTAAAATCTTCAACAATCTTTTCCAATACTTTAGCAATCTTTTCCTATACTTGATATTGCAATGATTAAATCAAGCATACCATGTATTCCAAAAATTTATATGATTTCTTACCAAGTCTATACAATTCCCTCCATTTCTGCAAGGATTGCTCTGACACTCATCTACCTCAGTGCTACAAGTCACACCAGTCCAGCCCAGGGGACAGTCACATAGAAAACCTGAAATATCAGAATGGCTGTAAATTGCAGTCTATGTTCAGCTTATGCTCTGAAGACAAACTGTAAAACATCAAACATGTATCTTCCTTTTAAGTAAAATCCAATATATTTATCTCTTAAAAATGGTCTCTTCTTGACTTACCAGTTTCATCATTCCTACAAGTAGCTCTCTGGTGGCAGGGGAAGGATGCACAGTAATTGTAATACTGACACCTGTCCCCTACATAATTGTTTATGCATTGGCACTGAATCTGGGGGTTGGCTGTTTTGTTACTGAGGCTCACACACCTGCCATTTGGATTACACGGTGAACCTGGAGAGTTAAATAAAATCTCAAAATGAACCAAAGAATGTTTAAGTTAAATGAAAAGTAAAAGATAAGTGAAGAATATTAAGTTTAATAAAAAGACCAGATCTTAAAATGTCGAAAACAATATTAAAATCTGAAGAAAAATCCAAAGAAATATGTAGTGGTGCTACTTGTAACAAAAAAATTCAAATTATGAGACAAACTAACACTCCTTTTAATTGATAGTGATAGTGCTTGTCTGTTTATATAATTTATTATGCACTATTTAGAATACAACTAAAATGATAACGAAGATTTGTAACAGAGGGAAATGAATGGTTCAAGAGTCTGACAAAGTGAAATAATATCCAATGGCTATCTGTAAAGAAGACTGGGTCCTTACCCAGACAGCTGTCCCTGTTTTCACAGTGTGTTCCATAGTATGTGGACAGACAGAGACATCTATAGGCATTCAGCTGGTTCTCACATGTGCCACCATTTTGACAGATGATTCCCTCACAATTATTGACCAATTCTGAGCACATCTCTCCTGTATAACCAGGAGGGCAGGTACACCTATAATATCATATGTTGCAAAAACTACAGTATAATGCTGGACAAGATTGAGAAAACTGGAGAATGCCAAGCTACAGCCATGTAATATATCAACAGGTAAATGGCTACAATACTTTTAAGTAAATGATGATGATAGTGAAAATATTGTTTAATTTACATGAGTTTGAAATTATCTGTTTCCCAAACTAAACGACAGCTGGGGCCACTTTGACAAAAGCACTTTTGCCTAAACATGGGTATGAGCTTCCATAACAAATAATTAGTCTACTCTAGATAAATCTGTAATAGTATTAATTAAATGAAACATTTTGCCTGTTTTACAACAAGAAAGACATGGCTTATGTTTCAGGCCAATACTTCATCTATGTGAACTACTATGGATTTATCTTGAACTGAAATAGACCAAATTCCTATCTGAATTTTAATGCTAATTTTTAGTCTAAATTTCATTGATGAAGCCCGTCCCAGATCTGAAAATATGTCCATCAACTCAAGATACTTACACAAAATTATTCAAAGCATTAGCACATGTAGCCTGGTTCTGGCATGGCTGGGATATACAAAAGTTGTACTGTTCACAGTTTGCCCCAGCAAAGTTAGCCTGACAGACACAGGTGTAGTCCGTGCCATACTGTGTGTTGGGAACATTGGCACAGGTGGACCCAGAGCGGCATGGAGACTGTGTGCAGCTGTTCTTGATGGTACAGTATTGTCCAGACCAACCAAGGGCACAGTCACATCTAGAAGGTAGAGAACAGGATATTACTGGATAGTTATAGAATAAAGACTTCTGACCATTTTGAGCTCAAATCATAATGACCCTACTTCTTTTATATTAAAGATGTGCTCTAAATAGTCGGACATCATTAGAATAATTTAAAAATTACCACAGTAAAGATGACAGTATGTGCGTGTGTGTGTGCTCAAGTGTGCTCAAGTGTGTGTGTGTGTGTGTGTGTGTGTGTGTGTGTGTGTATGTGTGTGTGTGTATGTGTGTGTGTGTGTGTGTGTGTGTACAAGCATGCATGTTTACCATAGACCAAAGAAAAACAAACAGAGTGATAAAAGTTTATGTATTAGAGAGATACTTGCAACGGCCTGAAAAATAAAAATAGACAAATATGCAATTACTAAAATATCAATAGCACAACTGGTCCCTGATAAAGCAAGGTTATTCAGGTTTTACAGTTTTTATTTTTCCCAGGGTTGTTTTTTCCTCAAATTATTGATAATGTTTATGTCATAATCAAAGCCAAATATGGAAAGTATCTGCAAGTGATAAAAGCTATCATTTAAATCAAAACTCTGTCACCTGCTTTATAATCAGGTTATCTTGAAATAAAAAGAGGGTAAGATGATAGAGATATCAACAACAAATACAAGGAGATGACCTTTTAAAAACACAATAGACTTGGTTGAGAGGGCATCAACGTCAATGGTCAAGGTAAACAACTTAACCCATATATAAGCTAGGTCCAGAAAGTGCTTCCTTTAAGCAGACCAGCACAATGGGTGCCCAGATTTTTAGCAACCTTTTCATTCCAGCACTTCTCCTACTTTGGTGTGAGGCAGAATATTCCCCAGCTCCAAAATTACCTCCTCCGCCTCCAACAATTCCACCTTCAGTGAGTGCAACCTCAGTTCCTAAGCCAACCCTTCCAATTCGCATAACTCTTCAAGAAGTTGTGAAAACACTGCAAGAGCATAAGAAGCAGCTCAAGGACATAGAAGATGACTTGCCTTCACTGCAGGTCTCTGCCTTGCAACATTTCACAGACATCCAGACCCTACAGGACCAGTCCAAAGATGTTCAACATGGTTTTCTAGAGCTAAGCACCAACTTTAGTCAACATCAAACTCTGGCAAATCAAAATATGTCAGAAATTCTATTGAAACTGAATGAGCTGAAGTTGTCTTCATCTAAAGAAAAGCAATTGCATGCAACAAACAAAAATTGGCTTGGCATTTTAAACAGGAACATTTCTGGCATGGGAGACAACATTGAAGACTTGGCTGAGGTATCCCAAAAGCAAGAACAGCGACTGAAAGTCTTGGAACTTGCTCTTCAGCAACAGCTCGGAAGAACCAGAAATTTGGAAACTGAAAATGCACAGCTCAAGGCTGCCTATCAAAATCAGAGCAAGGTACTGGAAAAGTTGCAGAAACCATCCACAAACAACAAAAAACCAAGAGGTAAGTTATTTTTAAATCAATTCTATATGACTACATACAAACTTCTTTGGTTCCATCTTCTATATAGTTTTGTTATAACTTAATTGTCTTTATGATAGCAGATACATGCTTGAATGACTGGCAGACAATGTCCTCATTGTCCCAAAAGCTAAATGACAATATGTGGGGAAAAAGAGGAAATATTTCTGTAGTAGGCCAGTAGATTCTTAAACCCTGATGTTAGAAGGCTAAAAAGTATTTTGCACATATTGTTTAGGTATGGCCATTTATAGTACACATTTGATCCCATTACATCAAACATTATTTTCAGACGATTTTTTCAAGTACGACAACTCATTGTACAAATTTGTTCCTGCTCTGGCCACCTGGACAGCAGCAGCTGCACACTGTCAGAGTTTGGACCCACAAGCTTATCTTGTGTCCATAGAAACTGTACAGGAGAACAGGTTCATTAATCGTCTGGCAAGAGGTACAGTAATAACCCGTTAAATCTAAACAAGTTGAATTGATAAATTCCTACAAAACAATGATTTTAGAGTAATAATGAAACATTTAGAGAAATAAGTTAGCTTTGTGTCTGAATGTTTATTTTTTGAATAACAGAAAATGATCAAAATAAATGAGGTCTTTGAAAATCGCCATTTATTACCATAATACTTGTAACATTCTCAACCATATAACTGAATATCAAATTGATATCTATGTTATATTAACTGATATCGATTTTTTCAACTAATTACTTTTCCTGTTTTTGAAAAATAATTTCTTCAAGTTGCATAATATTTCTAGTAGGCAGAATGGAACTAATTCAAAGGTATATGTATACCAAACTCTCTTAAGTTTTATCAGTCACAACACAAAACTGTGAAATCCTAAATTTTTGTCAATTACAGGTGTCAATGAAGTTTTCATTGGGGCCTTTGAATTAAATTATGACAAGAAATGGGCTTGGCTTGGGACTGGTAGAGAGCTGGCTTACAGTAACTGGAACACAGGTGAGCCATCAGACCACAAATTTTCATCAAACAACGAAAAGGAAGCATGTGCTGTGATGTTCACCTCTAATGGGAAATGGAATGACATCCTGTGTGACTCTCCAACTGAATTTCATAGTTTCATTTGTGAGATAAGATTACCATGAGAAATAGGAAATAAAAACACTTTAAAGAAATTAATAGTTAAAATACATCAGAGGCAAAAGTGATCAACTGAATTAAATTCAGCTTTCACACAAACATTAAGAAAACATGATATCAAATTTTCATGCAATCTTTAGTAGATGTTATATATCTTTGATGTATTTAAGACCTGGTCACATGGTAGCACTGGTAATTGTGTCTAATAGCCCTGAGTGCCACATATGCTGTAGCGTGGGTTGTAGTATCCCCAGGGAGATGAGAAAGAATTAGAATTGAAACCAATCCATAATTACCAGGCATATATTACACTATGTGCTTGATGATTTATGATATATTTCTGTGTATGCATGCAATATAAAACATAGATTGCAAAGAAAGAAAGAAATATACCATACCTTTATAAACTAAGGTCACCATTCATTATTTATTTAAGCTTACCTAAACCCTAGGTCTTCATCAACACAAGTTGCTCCATTTTGGCAGAAACTATTTCCAATACAGCTGTCAATATCTACACTGCAATCAGGACCAGTATAACCTGAAAAATAAAATGCAATGTAAAATTTTGTTCTGATTTCAAGCTCTTAGCTGAAAAAAGCAGACTACTAAAATCAAATAAAAGAAACTATTTTACGTCACAACATTAATGTGGTATTCAATCTCTTAGCTTGAATAAAAAATCTTAATATACTGAAAACCTTATTTGTTTGCTTATTTGTCTCAACATACCTGATGGACAAGTGCATATATAACTAGTAGTTGACCCTCCATCAAAGCAGGTGCCCCCATTCTTACATGGCTGTGTAGTGCAGGCATTGAGGCGTGCAAGACAGGATTGCCCAGTGTAGCCTGCCTGACACACACAGACAAAACCCTCAGAATCTGTGTGGCTAATGCAGGTCCCGTTATTCTGGCATGGTTTGGCTGTAATGACAATATCTTACATGGGTGGTGGCCATTCATATAAAAAATGAAATTGTTATTTGATCATTAAAAAGACATAAATATTAATAACATTTGACCACCTCTTTAACACTGTACAAAGCTCTTGGACTCATACATAAAGACTACCATTTTAATCCATCCTGTGACTTACATATACAATAGTCCCTGAACTGACACTGTGTCCCCACCAGCCCAGGGGGACATCGGCACTGGAACATCCCAGTGGGTCCCTCCACACAGTCTCCACTATTACAGGGGTTAGGAGAGCAACCAGTTACTGCCTGCTCACAGGTAGGGCCCTGGATGATACACAATACACGTGTAGATAGTATAAGATTTATTTCATGACTGATACAACAAATGGATAAATCAATATAATATATACATTTTGATATCAAACACACAAGTGTTTATAGACATCAAAAGAATTAGAAAATAATAACAATTAAGCTATACATCTGGTTCCTGCATATTATAGATATAGAATTCATAAATCTTTACAAATGGCTCAACATGGTTAATGCTCTTGAAAATCTAATATGTAACATACAGTAACACAGAATTCCATCTTACATTAAATCCCTTAGGGCAGTCACACAGAGCAGCACCTCCTACATCCCAGCATATCCCTCCATTCTTACAGGGACTGGGGTCACACAGACCTACAGAAATCAAATAATAATAATAATAATAATAATAATAATATCAAAGGTAAACACATTCAACATGTCACTCTTACTGCATATTAGACATGGTTTAATGCTGTTTAAAACCACTTTTGAAAAGACTCTTCAATGTCTACCAATGAAACTAAAAATAGTGTTGTCTAAACAACATGGGGAGCTAATTTGTTTTTCAACCAGATAATGATAAAAATGGACAATGATAAATATGGACAATTCATTTAAAAAAAATGTGACAAAATTCTGTTAGTCATGAAGGTGCACTTACAATTCATAAATTGCCATGCTTACCTGAATAAATGATTTCTATTATGTTTTCACCTATTCTGGTATTTAGATTTATGTCATAGTATACCTTTAGTAAGCTCGCAGAAGAGGCCCTCATAGTCACTGGTACATATACAATATATACCAAAGGCATCTGTGAAACATGCCCCTTGGTGCTGACATGGGTCTGGATTACAAGTCTTTTGTTCTTCTTCACATGTGGAGCCTGGTCAAAAGAGAAATACATTTCTTTAAGTTAAATAATTAAACAAGTAACCTTGATCATTAAATACGTATTTATCCCTGTTTTTATGGACTGCCTTGTTATGACTTTAAAATTATTTCAGACTATTTCTTCATTTAATGATATAATTCTACAACAAATCAGGTATCTGTCAATGATGAGAAATGAAAGTATATCAAAAGAAAGTGGTTGATATGATGTAGAAATATACTCATTAAAATGAAATTACCTGTATATGGCGGAAGGCATGTGCAGTTGAATGATGTGTCAAATGACAAACACAATCCAAAGTTCTTGCATGGAGATTCAGTGCATGGATCAACAATGTTCTCACAATTAGTCCCTGACAATGTAATAATAACAATAACAATAAAAATGAGTAAGCTAATAAATCAAATATAAAATACTAAATTATATGTTACATCAATACATACTCTGAAAGCTTCAGAAATTGCCAATATCACACTTTTAAAATACCCTCTACCAAGGTGGCAGATATTATAGGCACATTTTCCACCAGCCACAGTCAGAAGACATTATCTGTGAACATTAGTGAAAAATCAATCTGTGACCCTGGTAGAGGTAAAACATGTGTCAAAGATGTATAGTAATTGCATGTAAGCAAATGTGTGTAAATACATATATTGTATATTAATTATATCCCACCTGTGTAATACTGTTCACAGCTACAGTTGTATGATGTTCCCTGAACATCATTGTTGCATGTGCCTCCATTCTCACATGGGGAGCTGTCACATGGCAGGATGCGGTTTTCACACAAAACTCCTAGATACAAATTAACTTCTGTTGCTTAATGACAATAAAAAAAGTACTGGAATATACATGAGGTCTTCCCCCAGTGGCATGATTGCAAAGTTAATTATGGTAAAGATAAAAAATGCTAAATTTCTAGAAAATCTATTACAATTTTAATATTAATAAATATCATCAAATCTTGTTAATATACCTGTATAATCTGATGGACATATGCAAGTGAATGTGTCGCCTTCATTTCTACACACAGCATTATTAAGACATGGTGCTCTGTCACATGGTCTTATCTTGGTTTCACAATTTGATCCAGTAAAGTTTTGAGAACACACACAAGTATAGGTGTCACCACTATTCTGACATAACCCTCCATTTCTACATGGCGAGCTGTCACAGGGCTGGATTTGTCTGTCACAACGAGAGCCTGCAAGATAAACAGTATTTAATTATATTCATTGCTTATTTTTTACCAAATTTATAAAAATGACAACATACCTGATCAAATATCAGAATCATTACTTAACCAAAGTAGTGAAATGTGAGAAATTCCCATGCTAGTGAGCAGGGTGGCCAAAGATACATACATTACTTAAAGAGCATTAATATGTTGTTTAACATGCTATTCAGAATAAACTAGCATATATCTTTTTTAAAAAATAACAAAAATTGAGGAATTTTTGCATCAATGGATAGAATTGGCAACCCTGAGAGATGAGCCAATTAATAATAAAGACTTGCCTGCATAACCAGCATCACAGACACAAGTGCTGATACCACCCACATCTCTGCACTGGCCATTTACACATGTTGCGGCATCACATATCTCTACTCTGGTCTCACAGACTGTGCCAGTAAACCCAGTAGGACAGATACAACTGTACTCAAAAAGGCTGGTGCTTGTACAGAGTCCTCCATTTTGACAAGGCTGACTTAGACAAGGTAGACTTGTCTCACATCTATATTATAATATAAATTAAGAACCTTTTTTATATCTTATAATTTCTTTCATTCTGAAAGCAAAAACAAAATAAAACAAACAAAAATGAATATTTGGGAATTGCACAGCAGGGAATTGACAATTTTCACAGTGAATAACTAATCCTGAAATATATATACCCCGGTACATGAATCTGTTGTAACTATGGACTTTCAAATTCATATTGCCATTTAATAGCATAAAGCTGCCTTTTAGTCTTGCTTTCACTTGGATTAAATATCACACCCTTTCTTGTTTTCTTCTGCTTACCTTGATCCTGTGTGATAAACTCCACACACACAAGTGTAAGATGAACCACTATTGATACACAGTCCATTATTAAGACATGGGTTACTTCCACAGGGAACAGGGGTTTCACAATGTTTTCCTCTGTAGTTATCCACACAAGTGCATGTGTAGCCTGACCCAATCCCTGTGCAAGTTGCCCCGTTCAAGCAAGGACTGCTGGCACATGGGACATAAGTATCACACTGCTGTCCAGTGTAGAACTGAGTACATGAGCAATTGTATGTGTCTCCATTATTATTACAAGTGGCCCCATTGTAGCAAGGGGAACTGAGGCAGGGGACAATGGTTTCACACCTGTCTCCAACATAAGGAACCACACAGTCACAGATGTATGATCTTCCAACATTGGTGCAGGTGCTCCCATGGAGACAAGGATTACTCAAGCAGGGCACAAGCACCTCACACTTCTGTCCAGTAAAGGGTGGGGTACATGTGCATGTGTATGAAGATGAGCCGACATTTTCACAGCTACCTCCATTCAAACATGGAGTGAGAGCACATGGTACAAACTCATCACACACAACTCCTCTGTAACCCAGCATGCAGTTACACACAAATGTATTTCCTTGGTTCTCACATGTAGCATTGTTTTTACATGGGTTACTGGAACAAGGGAGGAAGGATTCACACTGAGTCCCTGTGTAGTCACTAGGACATGTACACAGGAACCCATCTTGTATATCAGCACACTGTCCTCCATGCTGGCAGGGATCACTAGTACAGTTCAGGTACGTCTCACACTGAAGTCCAGTGAATCCAACCCCACACGTACACGTAAAAGAATCCCCCATGTTTTCACACTGTCCTCCACTTTGGCAGGGATTACTAGAGCAAGGCAAGTACTGTTCACACTGGGAGCCTGTGTGTGAACTTGGGCAGTTACACTGGAATGTATCACCTATGTTAATGCATGTTCCTCCACTGGAACATGGAGAGCTGGAACACGGCAGGAATGTTTCACATGTGGCTCCTGTGTAGTTACTATTACAAGCACAAGTGTAGGTGTCTCCCACATTAGTGCACTGTCCACCATGAAGGCATGGGCTGCTTGAGCAGGCAAGGAATGTTTCACACTGTGTCCCAGTGTAATTTCGATTACAAAGACACAAATAGGTATCTCCAACATTTTCACAAGTTGAACCATGCTGGCAAGGATTACTTGAACAAGGAATGTATGTTTCACAGTTGTACCCTGTGAATGATTTTAGACAATCACAAGAATACTGATTTCCACTGTTTCTACAAGTTGCCCCATTCAAACAAGGCTGGCTAGCACATGGAATGTATGTCTCACAATATACACCTGTCTTGTCAAATGGGCAGAGACAGGTAAAGGTGTCCCCAGTGTTCAGGCAGGTTGACTGCCCAGTACAAGGGTTGCTAGCACAGGCATCTGGTATTTCACAGTTCCCACCTGAAAGAAAATGCAGGATATCTTCCATTAAATACAATACTACTTACAAGATTTTGCTAAAAAGCGTACATTTACATGAAAACTTCAATAAGATACCTAGAAATACTCCAACCCCTTTTCTTCATTTTTCTCTTCTTCAAGTCGAAGGCATTTTGCCAGTTGAAAATCAAAATCAAATGTTTATTTTTCAGCTCACATAATTAAAAATTGTGACAATGTCAGGTAACTTCATACCTTTGAATGTCAAGGGACATGTGCAAACATAACCATCATTTGTAGGTGTACAGATTCCTTGATTCACACAAGGTTCAGAATGGCAGGCATCAATTCCTATCTCACACAATGTTCCTAGAATAATATTAATGAAATATACTAATTTCACTGTGCTAATAAGTCTGTGTTCAAGTACTGATAACAAATTAAACATCTCACAACTAAAATCCTACAACATATTATTTTGCTAATAAGCATTTGTTAGTTACATCTTTTAACACAAAAAGCAGTTCAAAACTGAAATCCTGCACCAAATTATTAAAGGTTTATATGTTCTCCATAAGCAAAGAACTTTACAAAAGTTATACATGACCATGTATTACAAACATTACTTATACGTAAACAAGACATAAAATTCAATGTTATATGTCTCCCCAATCTGTTCTATCAAATAAAGTTTTTTCAGTTCCCACCTAAAAAGTTACTAGCACAATAACACTCAAAGTATCCCAGTGGCATCCAGAATCCTCCACAACCAAAGGTATTTCTACTACAGCAAAATCCACCATTCAGACAGGGGCCAGCATCACATGGGTCCACCTCCACCTGACACCTGCTGTCTGTGTGGTGGCTGTCACATGTACAGGTGTACGAGTTGGCTCCATCTGTACATTGACCTAGAGAGAATCATTTGTTAAAACGGAAAATCAATTTAAGCAAAGAATGGTTTTCCTGTATTTACCCTTCCATATCATTTATTTTGAAAATATATAAGAATTTAGCTTGCATACTTATATCATGACTTTATGGCCCATATATTTGTTTCCTAATAGAATAAATGTTTTTCTTCTCTTTCATCTTTTTCACAGAAAAAAATTCTAGCAATAATTCACAATAATAGATATTATACTGTGTGACTTTGGCTTTTGTATAACAGTGTAAAACTAACCATATTTTCCACATGGGTTGCTGGCACATTCATCCACATCAACTTCACAATTAGTCCCAGTGAACCCAGGCAGGCATAAACACCTTGGACTTGGACTTGAGATAGATGGTGGGTAGCAAATTCCATGGTTTTGACATGGGTCTCCTGAAATGAAAAATAAATGTCTACACACTTTATATATATACATATGCTTAAAAGTTTTGCATCTAGCTCAACAGTTTCCCATTCCATTCTATTCCATTCACCATTTTCAGCAAGTTTATTTAAAAAAAAAAAATTAAAAATTTAATTAGGTTTAGTAACGAGGTAATTTTAAAACTACATTAAAAAGACCGAAGTTTTGACATTTCCCCTAGCCAACAGAATCATATTATACCCACCCTGTGTACACAGCTGTCGTCTCTCACACAGTCTGCCAGCTCTGTTTGATGGACAGAGACAACTGAAGGAGTCAGGCACATCAACACATGTTCCCCCTGCCTGGCACGGTGAGCTGGCACAGGAACTAAGGCTTACTGCACAGTTAGGACCTGTGATTCAGAAGTAAATGAGTAAAAATCAGGAATGTTAATTTCATTTAAATGGTTTAAGAAATGAAAAACAATGGTGAAAAAGGAAATCATTCTGAGAGAAACTACAAGAGGCAAGACACTTACACATGACAGCATAAAAAACTTGCTTCACTGAAATTGTTACATATTATTCTGGTGTGCATTGCTTTGTATTTTTCATATAGCAAAATGCAAACTGGCAAACTTATCATACTTAACAGACCACAACAAATCCCCACCACAGAACCTTTTCTTAATCAAAATGAGTGGAAAACAATACAATTTGGTATCAGTCACAAACTTGATCACCTGTATAGCCTACTGCACAGTTGCAGGTATATCCATTAAGCTGCTCCATACATGTGCCAGTGTTCAAACATGGATTGCTACTGCATTCATCTATCTCTACTTCACACTGACGAGATGTGTACCCTGTGGGGCACTGGCACTGGAACCCTGTCTCCAGAGGCTAAAATAATATTATAACTTTGATTATTGAAATAGAACCACATTTTTAGTTTAAGAGGTTTAAGGCACACCTGAATCATAGGCAATGGTCTATGTGGATTTACCCATCTCTGTGGGGACTTTAGCTGACTGCAATCCACTTAATTGGATGACACACCTCCTCCTGGTATTAATTAAAATACACAAAACCTGGTGATTATACAAGTATGTTGGAAAGTTAAACTGATTGCACTAAGCGAGAGTCCCCACAGGGTTGGGTCTATGATATCTATGTGCACCAACGGCGCCTATGGGAATGGGGTCTTAGGAGAAGGCTGGAACACCATCCAGTTTTTTGTAAGATAAATTTAATGCCACCAGGTGTGAGAGGCTATGATGCTGATATAACAACAGACAAAGTATTTGAAAAATATAAGGAAAAACTATCTAATGACCATGCTTTCATTACAAATTCTAAATGACAAACATAACTGATTCTTTACCCATATTACCATATGGAAAATAAGTTAACATCATTAATATCATTGCTGCATCCAAAGACATGCATGTGATATAAATATTCTAATGCGTACCTGACAGGTGCCTCCATTGCTACAAGGCTGTGATAAGCAGAAATTGATACCTACTTCACAGTTTTCACCTGTAAAACCTGAATAAATATGAAGACACTGACCACGTAAGTCATGAAAAGCTACACATATATGGCATATATGGCAACTTGACTAAATCATAATCTTAAATGGAAATCAATTAATTTAAAAATTGAAGGAAGGCAATTATATGTTAACAGTTATTAACACATTTTACCTCTACCAGAATGTATGTTATTTCAATAACATGCCATTTATGGAATCGACCAAAAATTTTTGATGTGAAACTTTGGTTTTACCTGGTCTGCAACTACAGTGGTACCCTCCTCTGAGCAGTGTGCACACTCCATTCATGCAAGGGTTAGGGATGCAATCTGCTGGATTAACAGTAGGCAATGGAATCACAGTTGGAGCAGTTGTCATTGTTGTACTTGTTGTTGACATTGTTGGTACAGTTGTTCTGGTTGTTGATGATGTTGTCGGTACATGTGAAGTTGATGTTGTTGGCAGGGTTGTAGTTCTGGTTGTTGATGTTGGTACAGTTGTAGTTCTGGTTGTGGTTGGTACAGTTGTACCTCTGGTTGTTAATGGTGTTGCCGGTACAGTTGAAGTTGATGTTGTTGGCAGGGTTGTAGTTCTGGTTGTTGATGTTGTTTCCATTGTCATTCTGGTTGATGGTGTTGTTAGAACAGTTGTAGCTCTGGTTGTTGTTGGTACAGCTGTAGTTCTAGCTGTTGATAATGTTGGTACAGTTGTAGTTCTGGTTGTAGTGCTTGGCATTGTTGGCTCTATTGTAGTTCTGGTTGTTGTTGGTGTTTCTACATTTGTATTTCCTGTTTTTGTTGATGTTGCTAATATAGTTGCAATACTGGTTGTTATTAGTACAGTTGTACTTCCAGCTGTTGATAGTGTTGTTGGCACTGCTGTTGCTTTGGCTGTTATTGATGTTCTCGGTACAGTTGTAATTCTGGTTGTTGATGGTGTTGGTACAGTTGTAGTTCTTGTTGCTTTTGATACAACTGTGGTACTAGTTTGTGGTACAGTTGTTGCACTGGTTATTGTTGTTGGTGTGGCTGTATTGCTGGTTGCTTCGGTAGGGACTGGTGTGATGCTGGTTGCTGTAGTTGGTACAGGTGTGTCACTGGCTGTTGGTATTGTTGGGACACTGATGTTTTTGGTTGCTGATGATGTTGTTGGTATTGTTGTAGCACCAGTTACTTTTGTTGTTAATGTTGTATTGCTGGTTGGTGTTGTTAGAATTGTTGTGAAGCTGGGTACTGCTGAACTTGTTACACTTATGATACTGTTTGTATCTTTGGTTGATATTGTTGTTGAAGTTGTTGGAACCTTACTGGTGCTGGTTGTTGTTGGTAAAACTGTGGTTGCAGTTGTCTGAACAGTTGTGGTACTGGTGGGTTTTTGTACAGTTGTGGTTCTGGTTACTGACATTGTAGTATTAATTGTTGTTGTTCCTGGCAAAGCACCAGTAGTTGAGGTGGGTGTTGGTTTAGTTCTTAAGGTTGTTAATCCTGATGTGCCATTTGGAACAGTTGCTGCTTGTGTTGTGGTCTTTTCTGATGTTACATTGGCTCCAAACTCAGTCTGCATGGATGTAAGAGAAAGCACTGGTGATCCTCCATTTTCACAGTTAGTTCCAGTAACTCCAGGAGGGCATTCACAGATATAATATGCCACTGTTTCATCAATTACAGCTGGGTATGATATGCATGTAGCACCATTTTGACAAGGTTGGGAAGCACAGGGATTCACTGCAAATTACACATATATATATTGATATCAAGATGCTTGCATTGCAACTAAAGGGGATTACTTGAAAATTATTGATTTGAAAATAAATACACCTTAAAGAATACCCATAACCTTGTTTTTCTTAAATTGTATTAATCATATGATAATCTTTATGTCTACTTGAAAAGTAGATACCTCCACTGCAAGTAGCATTGGACTCATCAAGTTCTGTCACAGCACAATCAACTTTGCCATCACAAACCCAGGCAGATAATGTACAATCATTTGGGTTAGTAGGGTTTCCACAAAATGTTTGGAGCAAAAGAGGTGGAAAATTAGGACAGTCCATTGGCAAGCCTGTTTGGATAACAAAAAAGAAAAAGAAATAAAAAACAATACAAAAGCTTAAAGATGATATCAAAAGCAAAACCACTTTAAACAGAAAATATGTTATAAATCTGAGAAATCCAGCTTAGGGTGGAGCAATCACTTCTGTCTGAAATTTTGTACATAATATGCAACAGCAATGTGACAAAACTTCAAAGGCAGCAACAAAGGAGTGGTCATCCTCTTGAAATAAATCAACTTAGTCCACTGATCATTGACAGAAATAGATGATAATCTGATTGTATTCATTGATAATATTTCATAAAAACACAACTTTAAAATGTGTTGACAAGCCAAAAACCAACAGAACATGATATCAGTTTCTTGCCTTACCCCCATATGACTTTCTGGGCAGACTGGCTCAGATGAGCAACAAATTGGAGCAAAAATAATATGTACAGATCTTTCATCTTGTATATCTCATGTGTGACTCATGCATTTAGGTGCATCTGTGAAGGATGTGATTTGTGCATGCCAATTAACATATATGCAAAATGCAGTGGCAAGCCTCACACATTTCACTTCTTCAATTACAGTGGGTAAATAAAAACTCTGTCTCTTTCTGATTGATTAATTTACTATTGGCAATTTAAATGGTGCCAGTTAACTGTTAAGGTATGAGAATTAACATATATGTGCTCAAGTTAACTCACTAAAATTTGGAAAGGTGAAAAGCATGTATATGTATCATGCCAAAATGCTTTCATATGCCAAAATAAGTATGTCTGATGATTAAACAGAATGAAAAGCAGAGTGAAAAGTTTGTTCAGCAATGTTTTCTTCTAAATTAAGAAATAATCATAATAGGGTACTGAAAACAAAGGGGTGGCATGAGGATGATTTCAATGTTGCATTTTCAAAATATATGATTCTGCAAATAATTGGTTGAATACTGAAAATTAATAGTAATTATCATAGTCATCATAACTCTCAAATTTATGTTTTAAACTTCATATATGTATTTATTTTAAAACAAAGTTTAATAAGTAGAGTCCACAACTGGGACATGCCTGTTTTGCAACATACGTATATATATTTGGCAGGACACACAGACCATATTCCCATACTGAGATCGATTAAGCAGGATTGACCCAACTCCAAGAGGTTTCTTGCTAAATTACATTCAGCCTAAGCAGCTCTGATATCTGGCACGCCTACTGAAGCTGTTAGGGGGTTATTAACTATCGTTTAGCAGCTTCAGCAGCGTGGCAGACATCTAAGCCAATTAATCTGAATGCAATTTTGTGAGAATCCCCTCAGAGATGGTTCAATCCTGCTAGGTTGATCTAGGTATGGGAATGGGGTCACATATTCAAGCTAAAAGCATTATACAGAACATAATCAGCACTTGCTTCATATATACCAGCAACAATAAATCCTAAGATATAATTTGTGCATTTTGACACCTGCAAGTGAATCTACAAGTGAATCTGCAAGAGAGTGACAAACAGTGATGTTGGCACAAAATATCCGCATGAAACCCTCAATAAATTCAATCCCGGGTGTGGCCATAGTATTATTTATTAATCTGCTATGACTCACTACCAAATTGATCTGTTACCAATACACCATAAGAAACGGTCGAAAATATTTGCCTCCATTGCAACTATCAAAAAATATTTCACATAAATCAAACACTAGCACTTGCCTTGTTGTGCATATGCAGTCTTATATGAGATTCCTTGACAGAAAACAAAAAGGGTTATCGCTACAAACGTAAACCGTGTCCGTTTTGAAAATGGCGCTTCGTTCTTCATCCTAGAAAAAGGTTTGATTTTCTCCATTTATATTGACGATGAAAGCACACAAATGTAGCATCTTTCAAAATAATCTATTTCGGCACGACATCTATCCTTATCGCTGCACTTACGCTCTCAAAAATATACAATTCAGGTAAATTACAGAACGTAAACAATGCAAGACACATGCCGGAAGAGCAGACATGTTGTTGATCTCATGACGTCAGTTAGAAATCAAGATAAGACTCATGGTTCCAGTACGGGAAAATGTTAAAATGGGATTTAGATTTTTACCTTTTCTTACACAGTTATAAGTTTCATACTATACCCATCAAACCACTGAGGCTAAAACACATAAAGTTAAAGCGAGTTGAGGAGGGGTACGTCTTACTGTCGCACTCATAGAACTAACTTGCATCTGCATGGCATGGCAGGGGTCTCCCCTTGAACTCAAGAGGTATTTCAAATGTTTGATAACAATTTGTGTTCATATTGATAAAGACAATGATGAAGACTATACTATTTTAAGAACTGCACAAGTATTCGTTATGATTGTGCTGGTGGTGTCTTTGCCATTGTGCTGGCGTGTGTGTGGTGGTTGGAGGGGGGGGGGGAGCTTGCTCTATTTTTTTTTTTTACATAAGCCTAAGGCAAAGCTATTGTAAGCCTCCTGTAGTGTGAACTCTATGATAAAGATACTTTCTTAATTCAAAAAATTCACTCAATCATTTCTGATGAAAAGATGGTTACAAATATTTTTTTCCAAATGCTCGATTTGATCATGTAAATCATTTGAAGTGGTTAAACAATGTATTAAAAATCATAAGTGTTAGTATTTCCATCATTCTAGAATGAACCACTTGCTGCAGCAGTCCAGAGCATCTGGTGTGTACTGCAGATGGCTGGCTACATTGCAGAGGTCTCACAAAATCTCAACTGCTGCAACAGCATGTACTCCACAGAAAGATGAAAAAGATCCCATGGAAAAACTACAAAAGAATCCCTATTTTGAAAAATATAAAGGAAAAATTCATGATTTACAGCAGTAAGTTTAAGGCATATGTGATCTTCACAAGGATAGAGCTGTACCTGTTAGTTCCATATAATACCCTGCATATAATGTACTAGTACATGCATGCATTGCACAGTTAAATGTATTTTACTCCAATGCTTTAAATTTACATGTAGATGTAAAAAATTCCATAAATCAATATAGTTATTATTTAGAAATAACTACAGATTCATTTATTTTGTAAGAGATAGTGTAATGAATCTTACAGGTGTATTTTCGTTTACCTATATTCGACAGTTAAATGCAGTTATTAAAAATTATAATTGTCAGAAATTCCCCAGAAGAATTTGAATCTCGTCTGGAAGAATTTAAGAAAAAAGGGCAACCCAAAGAAAAAAAGGTTGAACCAAAGGCAAAAAAACAACCAGTGTCAGCAGCTGCTAGCAAGATGTCACAGACATCCAAACTATCTCAATTGAAAATGACTAAAGAAAAGGTAATTTTTACATGTATGTCATATCACTTTTTCAAACAAACCACATTTAGCAATACGTGAAAAAACATTTGAGCCTACTGACCCTTTAAGCCACTGGGATCTAAGAATCTACTGTCTCAAAAGCAGAAACCATAGAAAGTAACTGAACAAGTTTACCACATTTCACTGCCCATTTGTCAGTTTTACTGCATTTGGTGTGAGACTGATATTGATGTCACAGACTGTTTGCATCCTAAATAAGTTTCTGTTTTCTTTTCAGACACTTAATGACATTATGAAGGTTGATCTTCTATATGATAAATCTGCTCAAGAGATAAAACAGGTGAGACTTGGATGAAAATGTTTCTGACAGAAAAGATTTCTTATGTTTTTTTTAACACAACCTCTTTACCATATCCTTTCATGTGTCCAAGGGCCAATTATGTCAAGTTATGCACAAAAGTTTGTTTTATTTGTACCTACTAGTACACATTAATGGGAGAGAAAGTATTAGAAAAAAAATGTTGTGAATAGACTGCTTTTCCACTTTCTGTTTATATTTCAGATTTGGCAACAACACTTCAGTAAAAAGAAAAATACTGTATTTGCAGTTATCCCTGTAAGTAGATCTAAAATTTAGATCTAGTTAATAAGTTTTAATGATATTAACTGAATAGAAAAAAGTATCTTACATTTATTTTCCATTTTTATTTGAAATGTTACTATTCCACCAAGCATATGCATCCATCCATCATATTAAAAGATGGGAAAGATAAATTGCTTACTCCTTAAGATTTATTTTTACAGGTAAAAACTTATGAAGTTATACATGAGAGGTCATCAACTTATCCAATGGCAAGTTTTGTCTTTTACTTACTGTCTTGTTGTACTCTTTCAGGAACTCTATTTAGTAAAGTTCAGTGCAGTATATACTTAAATGAAATAAACAATACATGTTCATTGTTTCCACTTGATTTGCAACTTCATCACTTATCAGGATGGATGAAATTTAATGACTCAAAACTTTCACTCAACAAAATTTTATGTTCCTGTTTAATATTTACAGTTTCTGTACACTCTGCCTAGAGGAGATGGCTATGAATTTTATGTAGCTTCCTTTAGTGGACATGAATGCTACTTTACACCACTGATTGCATACCAGGTAATTTGAATTGGGAAATGAATTGTGTATTACAGTCAAAAATGATTGTTAAAATCAAAGGATGACAAAATAATAAAAATCAACAAAAGTATTTCAAATTGTTTCTTTCACAAATTGCCATTTTTTTAATAAATATATATATTTTTTTACATATTAGGCTCATCAAGCAGATTCCCCAGTTTGTTTAACTCTGCATCATTATTCAGAACTGGGAGATGAAAAAGGTAATGTTTAGTTTAAAAAGAAAATTGATTAGCAATTTAATTAATTGTGGATATTATTTGCTTATAAGTGTTAAAGACAAACTTGAATTTTTAGAGTATTTTCTTATGCCTTAAAGATAGAAGAAAATGTTTTAAAAGATCACAAGTGTTAGATTTTTTGAAAGAGAATAATATTTACATGGGATTATGCTTTTTTAGGAATTGTCTTGATGCATGGTGAATATAACAGTGATATTTTAGTAAGTATATGTTAAAACGAATTTTATGAATGTAGTTATTTTTTATTTATAACCCTGTGATTTGTTCTGAAATATCAAGGTTTTTAAAGTGTACATAAGCATTATGCTCTACTAAATTTAAAGAAAATTTCCTTAAGCCACCTCAAGATATAAACTGTACACAAATTATGTAAATACAGCATGCATCCCTATTATTTTTGCAGAATGCACAAGATGCTCAACTTCTTTGCCAGCAAGTACAGATTTATTATGGACCAGAGAGCACTAGCTATCATTTGGTGGAGACTTTTAACGAGCAGCCAGATAATTTCACTGATCTTATATCACAATTAGAAAAAGTCTTGCCTTTGAGGTGACCAGTACCAATTCAGAACATTAAAATGGTATGAAAAATTGCATGAATGTCAATTTTAGTGTTGTATGGAATGGAAAATACTAGTACAATACTTGTACATTTACATCCAAACCAGAAAGTATGCTTGGGACTGAGAATAGAAAGTTGATTCTGTATTACATGTAATAACATAGACAATAGAATGAAAAAAATATGGGTTTCCTGTATTATCATCACCTGAAGCTCTGCTTTACTGAGGACGTATATGATTAGAATAGAGTTAAAATAGAGTTTGAACATTCATTCATAAGAAGTTGATAGAAAACTGTACTGTTTGTTTATGCTAAGTTATTATACATGCAGTGCCAGCTATGCATCTTACAAGCAAAGTGAGGATGCAGAATTAAGCCTCATAAAACTGGATTTTTGAAAGATAATTGAGATTATTTTGATAATGATACATGTTCATACCATTAGTGTCAGTACACGAAAACAAATATTGTTTCTAGTAATTGATTCTATAAAATTGCATTACGTCATAAATATAATGGGTGGGTATGGGTATGTCAAAAAGTGTGAATCAGTTTGTTTCTGTGTGACCTTTTTTTTTAGTATGGGAGTATAGTTACTCTGAACTTCGTTACTATGACATTATGATATATGTACACATGTATATCTGCAAACCAACTGTAGAGGCCACTCATTAAAATATTGAGTACATTAATAGAACTGTCTGTTTCATTTTCTGTTGCTATTATTTACCTAGTGTGCACATACATGTAGAAGATGGGCCCAGTAAAATTTTCCAGCTAATTACCAGTACCAATATATCATATTGTGAGTGCATATACAGTACATCTTATCAAATATGCACAAAATGAATTCTTTTTGGGTATTTTTAATAATAAATAAAAAGTCAGCAAATAAATTTTGTGAGTAATGAAACGTTCTGAACTTGCAAATGTAAAATGCTGGAATAAATGATGCCTGTTGTGAAGTCTTGGATTTGCCGTAAAGGCTTTTCTTGGGGCACCATTTCCGTCAGGTGGCAGTGCACATAAACGAAAACAAAAATGTGTGAACGTGTTATCGAATTCTACAGCGGAATTGGGGGAATGCACCTGGCTCTGAAAGGTAAAAAATTGAAGATCATGTTAATTATGATTCTCAGTAGCTCACAGATAATAATGAGGACGGGCTGAACCCAGTGATGGGCTCCGTGGCTGCTCTCGTCACGAGTATCATGAGTACTTCACTGTCTTCACCCTGTACGTGGCTTGAAAAACGTGGCTCGCAATATTAATAACCCTCCACTCAGTTACCTGTACATATGCATATGCGTTTTTATGTCTCAACTGGTTGTTATAACTTCATCTGTGCTAAACTTCGGTAAGCACTATATAGGTTGTATCTGTCTAAAACTTGCATCTTAATTGTTATTTTCTTTTGCAGAGAGTAGCATTAAATATAAGGTTGTTGCAGCAGTTGATATCAATGATGTTGCAAATGAAGTTTACAAATACAACTTTCAGGACATCAACCTACTTCAGAGGAGTATAGAGGTACATTTGTTCACCCACCCACAGAGACACATACAGTATATTTCCACCACTTACCGCAGATTAATCAAATATGTAATCACCATAATACTTAATCATATCTCTCCTCATCCACTTGCCTATGGTTGAGCCTTGTTTTGATTAGAGTCTACACCCAATTTGCCTTTAAAGTTATAATATAATGATAGGTCATAAGTGCAATAATTTCCTTTCTTGATTAATTATGTGTTGATTTCTTATTTTGGTTGTGTCTGATATGTTTTGATTAATTTCTCAAAATGAATTGTTTATATTCTTATGTATGATTATCTCCCTTATTTAGTCCATTAGTCTGAAGGAATTGAACAAACTTAGCCCAACCATGCTGCTAATGAGTCCACCATGTCAGCCATTCACCAGGGTGGGGCTACAGAAGGATATAGAGGATGCAAGAACTAACTCGTTTATCTACCTTTTAGAAACACTACCTAAGTGAGTATTCAAAGGGTTGACAGTTGCACTGCTATATGATAACACACACCTTCATTTTTTCCTTCAAAACTTCACAGATGGATTCAGCAGAACCATTTAGCACTGTGATGTAATTGTGAGTTTCACCATTGAGTATATTTTCAGAATAGTGACTTAATTTTTGGAATTTGATGAATTTAATGTCTTAATGTTTCAGATTGGAAAAGTTGCCCAACTACATATTGATTGAAAATGTGAAGGGTTTTGAATGTTCCCAGACAAGAGACAAGATGGTTAGCACACTCAGAGAATGTGGCTACAACTTTCAGGTATATGTACGGTCCCTAAAAGGAACATTTGTGTCACATTTGATGTACTATAAGTTTACTTACACTACAACCACTGTTCACATCTGCCACCGTTGTTTATCCATGCAAAACTTCAACATGGCTACTCCTCACTGAATGCCTGTGACATTAGCACTGGTCCCTGCCAAGTAACAGTAAAAATTGAAGCCGTGTTGGTAACAAAAATGTAGGTGTGTGCAGTTACTGGTCGCTGTTTTGTACCAGTGGTGGACCCATATATAGGCTTGATAGTTATTAGGGCAGACTGTTAGCTGCATAAGTATTAACTTTAGGGATAACAACTCTTCGTTTTGGCCAAAAAATGAATTATCCTGGAGTAAACAACAATTTTCCCATACTTACCAATGGTTAATGAATCCATTTTTACATTCAAAGTTAGTTCCTGGTTTTTTTTCTAAAAAGTTTTGTTTTTTGTTAAAATCTCTTAAGAGATTATAACACGGTATAGCCATCAATGGAGGTCACGTTGTCGAAAGACAAGCTCAGATATCAGAATAATAGCTATAACTGCAGTTTTTGTTGTAAAACAGAATATATTATATTTCTATGAGTTATTCACAATGTTTTTATTGTGAAATATAGATCTCATACGAAGAGTTATACTAGTAATCCCTTTAAGTATCTATGCCTTATTCAGTTGGAGCAGTTGGTTCTCCTAAACTACCCAATGTCAGGGTAGTTGTGGAATTTTATAAGAAAGAACCTAACTTTATGTTTTTACTAAAATTCCATAGAGTAGTTAACTTATCTTTATGGTTTTTTAATTTCAGGAGTTCCTTCTTACTCCATTGCAGTTTGGTGTCCCCAACTCAAGGATGAGGTACTATATGGTAGCAAAGAAGAAACCTTTGACTTTTGTTTTTGATACTTGTGAGGGCAAGGTGAATATCATTTATATTAAGAAATTAATTTTTTTTTCCGATGCATATAATAGGAAAGTTGTAATAAGGCTTATCAAGTTGAAACTGGTGCTTTAAGACTTATGCATTTAGGTGCCACTTTGTCCCAAGTCTTATGCATTTCAATCCTTTCAAATTGGCAGGTCTGTGCCTCTATATAAAAGACAAAGCCGTGTTCAGTTTATAATTTTTTCCATATATTTTTTCTAGCAATCTTTGTCTAATGCTTTAGTTTCATCACAGTTGCAACTGGAAAATTTATGTCTGGAAGTAATAAATCGCCTATTTANAAAAACTACAAAAGAATCCCTATTTTGAAAAATATAAAGGAAAAATTCATGATTTACAGCAGTAAGTTTAAGGCATATGTGATCTTCACAAGGATAGAGCTGTACCTGTTAGTTTCATATAATACCCTGCATATAATGTACTAGTACATGCATGCACAGTTAAATGTATTTTACTCCAATGCTTTAAGTTTAGCTGTAAAAAATTCCATAAATCGATATATTGGTTATTTAGAAATAACTACAGATTCATTTATTTTGTAAGAGATAGTGTAATGAATCTTACAGGTTTATTTTCATTTACCTATATTCGACAGTTAAATGCAGTTATTAAAAATTATTATGTCAGAAATTCCCCAGAAGAATTTGAATCTCGTCTGGAAGAATTTAAGAAAAAAGGGCAACCCAAAGAAAAAAAGGTTGAACCAAAGGCAAAAAAACAACCAGTGTCAGCAGCTGCTAGCAAGATGTCACAGACATCCAAACTATCTCAACTGAAAATGACTGAAGAAAAGGTAATTTTTACATGTATGTCATATCACTTTTTCAAACAAACCACATTTAGCAATACATGAAAAAACATTTTGAGCCTACTGACCCTTTAAAGGGATAATAACTCTTTGTTTTGGCCAAAAAATGAATTTTCCTGGAGTAAACAACAATTTTCCCATACTTACCAATGGTTAATGAATCCATTTTTACATTCAAAGTTAGTCCCTGGTTTTTTTCTAAAAAGTTTGGTTTTTTGTTAAAATCTCTTAAGAGATTTTAACAGAGTACAGCCATCAATGGAGGTCACGTGGTCTGAAGACAATCTCAGATATCAGAATAATAGCTATAACTGCCGTTTTTCTTGTACAACAGAATATATTATATTTCTATGAGTTGGTCACAATGTTTTTATTGTGAAATATAGATCTCATACGAAGAGTTATTATCCCTTTAAGCCACTGGGATCTAAGAATCTACTGTCTCAAAAGCAGAAACCATAGAAAGTAACTGAACAAGTTTACCACATTTTACTGCCCATTTGTCAGTTTTACTGCATTTGGTGTGGGGCTGATATTGATGTCACAGACTGTTTGCATCCTAAATAAGTTTCTGTTTTCTTTTCAGACACTTAATGACATTATGAAGGTTGATCTTCTATATGATAAATCTGCTCAAGAGATAAAACAGGTGAGACTTGGATGAAAATGTTTCTGACAGAAAAGATTTCTTATGTTTTATGTAACACAAGCTCTTTACCATATCCTTTTATGTGTCCAAGGGCCAATTATGTCAAGTTATGCACAAAAGTTTGTTTTATTTGTACCTACTAGTACACATAAATGGGAGAAAAAGTATTAGAAAAAGAACATGTTGTGAATAGACTGCTTTTCCACTTTCTGTTTATATTTCAGATTTGGCAACAACACTTCAGTAAAAAGGAAAGTACTGTGTTTGCAGTTATCCCTGTAAGTAGATCTAAAAAGAGACTAGTTTTCTTAATCATCAAAACCTAAAACTTCTTTGGATTCTGGTGTCTTATGGTGTCTTTTTTCAGAAATTATAAGTTTTATAAGGAGGATTCTTTTATTAAATTTTGAGGTCTGCGGACCAAATACCATGGAATGGCCCTTAATAAATTTTAATGATATTAACTGAATAGAAAATTTCCATTTTTATGTGAAATGTTACTATTCCACCAAGCACATGCACCCATCCATCATATTAAAAGATGGGAAAGATAAATTGCTTACTCCTTAAGATTTATCTTTACAGGTAAAAATTTATGAAGTTATACATGAGAGGTCGTCGACTTACCCAATGGCAAGTTTTGTCTGTTACTTCCTGTCTTGTTGTACTCTTTCAAGAACTCCATTTAATAAAGTTCAGTGCAGTATATACTTTTCAGCTGTGAAAAGATTTTTAATAAAAATAACACTACATGTTCATTGTTTCCACTTGATTTGCAACATCATCACTTTTGTCAGGATGAACTAAATTTTATGACTCAAAACATTCACTTAACTAAATTTAATGTTCCTGTTTAATATTTACAGTTTCTGTACACTCTGCCTAGAGGAGATGGCTATGAATTTTATGTAGCTTCCTTTAGTGGACATGAATGCTACTTTACACCACTGATTGCATACCAGGTAATCTGAATTGGGAAATAAATTGTGTTTTACAGTCAAAAATGATTGTTAAAATAAAAAAATGACAAAATGATAAAAATCAACAAAAACATTTAAAATTGTTTCTTTCACAAATTGCCAAATTTATTTTCATAAATAAATATATTTTTATGCATACTAGGCTCATCAAGCAGATGCCCCAGTTTGTTTAACTCTGCACCATTATTCAGAACTTGGTGATGAAAAAGGTAATTTTTAATTTACAATGAAAATTTATAAACAATGATGATTTATTTATGTTTAATATTTGCTTGTAAGTCTTAAGCATAATCTTGAATTTTGTAGCATATTTTTTGCCTTTTTGATAGAAATTTTTTAAAGAACATTACTGGTAAGATTTTTTAAAGAGAATACACAATATTTACATGGAAGTATGCTTTTAGGAATTGTCTTGATGCATGGTGAATATAACAGAGATATTTTAGTAAGTATAAGTTTGAATAGTTTTTATGTTAAAACTGTATGCATGTTGTTTTTTGTTTAAAAAAACCTGTCATTTGAAGTGAAATATCAGGGTATTTAGAAGTGTATATAAACTTTGTTCCTTACTAAATTTAAAGAAAATTTCTTTAATCTGTGAGATCAAGATATACATTGTACACAAATTATGTATATGCAGCATGCATATTACAACTATCATTTTTGCAGAATGCACAAGATGCTCAACTTCTTTGCCAGCAAGTACAGATTTATTATGGACCAGAGAGCACTAGCTATCATTTGGTGGAGACTTTTAACGAGCAGCCAGATAATTTCAAACACACTGATCTTATATCACAATTAGAAAAAGTCTTGCCTTTGAGGTGACCAGTACCAATTCAGAACATTAAAATGGTATGAAAAATTGCGTGAATGTCAGTTTTAGTGTTGTATGGAAAGGAAAATACAATACTTGTACATTTACATCCAAACCAGAAAGTATGCTTGGGACTGAGAATAGAAAGTTGATTCTGTATTACATGTAATAACATAGACAATAGAATGAAAAAAATATGGGTTTCCTGTATTATCATCACCTGAAGCTCTGCTTTACTGAGGACATAAATGATTAGTTAAAATAGAGTTTGAACATTCATGCATAAGAAGTTGATAGAAAACTACTGTTTGTTTATGCTAAGTTATTATACATGCAGTGCCAAGATAATTGAGATTATTTTGATAATGATACATGTTCATACCATTAGTGTCAGTACACGAAAACAAATATTGTTTCTAGTAATTGATTCTATAAAATTGTATTACGTCATAAATATAATGGGTGGGTATGGGTATGTCATAAAGTGTGAAATCAGTTTGTTTTTGTGTGACCTTTTTTTCTAGTATGGGAGTATAGTTACTCTGAACTTACTATGACATTATGATATATGTACACGTGTATATCTGCAAACCAACTGTAGAGGCCACTCATTAAAATATTGAGTACATTAATACAACTGTCTGTTTCATTTTCTGTTGCTAATATTTACCTAGTGTGCACATACATGTAGAAGATGGGCCCAGTAAAATTTTCCAGCTAATTACCAGTACCAATATATCATATTGTGAGTGCATATACAGTACATCTTATCAAATATGCACAAAATTTTTGGGTATTTTTAATAATAAATAAAAAGTCAGCAAATAAATTTTGTGAGTAATGAAACGTTCTGAACTTGCAAATGTAAAATGCTGGAATAAATGATGCCTGTTGTGAAGTCTTGGATTTGCCGTAAAGGCTTTTCTTGGGGCACCATTTCCGTCAGGTGGCAGTGCACATAAACGAAAACAAAAATGTGTGAACGTGTTATCGAATTCTACAGCGGAATTGGGGGAATGCACCTGGCTCTGAAAGGTAAAAAAATTGAAGATCATGTTAATTATGATTCTCAGTAGCTCACAGATAATAATGAGGACGGGCTGAACCCAGTGATGGGCTCCGTGGCTGCTCTCGTCACGAGTATCATGAGTACTTCACTGTCTTCACCCTGTACGTGGCTTGAAAAACGTGGCTCGCAATATTAATAACCCTCCACTCAGTTACCTGTACATATGCATATGCGTTTTTATGTCTCAACTGGTTGTTATAACTTCATCTGTGCTAAACTTCGGTAAGCACTATATAGGTTGTATCTGTCTAAAACTTACATCTTAATTGTTATTTTCTTTTGCAGAGAGTAGCATCAAGTATAAGGTTGTTGCAGCAGTTGATATCAATGATGTTGCAAATGAAGTTTACAAATACAACTTTCAGGACATCAACCTACTTCAGAGGAGTATAGAGGTACATTTGTTCACCCACCCACAGAGACACATATAGTATATTTCCACCACTTACCGCAGATTAATCAAATATGTAATCACCATAATACTTAATCATATCTCTCCTCATCCACTTGCCTATGGTTGAGCCTGGTTTTGATTAGAGTCTACACCCAATTTGCCTTTAAAGTTATAATATAATGATAGGTCATAAGTGCCATAATTTCCTTTCTTGATTAATTATGTGTTGATTTCTTATTTTGGTTGTGTCTGATATGTTTTGATTAATTTCTCAAAACGAATTGTTTATATTCTTATGTACATGTATGATTATCTCCCTTATTTAGTCCATTAGTCTGAAGGAATTGAACAAATTTAACCCAACCATGCTGCTAATGAGTCCACCATGTCAGCCATTCACCAGGGTGGGGCTACAGAAGGATGTAGAGGATGCAAGAACTAACTCCTTTATCTACCTTTTAGAAACACTACCTAAGTGAGTATTCAAAGAATTGACAGCTGCACTGCTATAATAACACACACCTTCAAAACTTCACAGATGGATTCAGCAGAACCATTTAGTACTGTGATGTAATTGTGAGTTTCGACATTGAGTATATTTTCAGAATAGTGACTTAATTTTTGGAATTTGATGAAATTAATGTCTTAATGTTTCAGATTGGAAAAGTTGCCCAACTACATATTGATTGAAAATGTGAAGGGTTTTGAATGTTCCCAGACAAGAGACAAGATGGTTAGAACACTCAGAGAATGTGGCTACAACTTTCAGGTATATGTACAGTCCCTAAAAGGAACATTTGTGTCACATTTGATGTACTATAAATTTACTTACACTACAAAAACTGTTCACATCTGCCACTTTTGTATCTTGCAAAACCTCAACATGGCTACTCCTCACTGAATGCCTGTGACATTAGCACTGGTCCCTGCCAAGTAACAGTAAAAATTGAAGCCATGTTGGTAACAAAAATGTACCAGTGGTGGACCCATATATAGGTTTGATAGTTATTAGGGCAGACTGTTAGCTGTTAAGTATCCATGCCTTATTCAATTGGAGCAGTCGGTTCTCCTAAACTGCCAATGTCAGGATAGTTGTGGAATTTTATAAGAAAGAACCAAACTTTATGTTTTTACTAAAATTCCCTAGAGTAGTTAACTTATCTTTATGGTTTTATAATTTCAGGAGTTCCTACTTACTCCATTGCAGTTTGGTGTCCCCAACTCAAGGATGAGGTACTATATGGTAGCAAAGAAGAAACCTTTGACTTTTGTTTTTGATACTTGTGAGGACAAGGTGAATATCATTTATATTAAGAAATTAATTTTTTTTCGATGGATATAATAGGAAAGTTGTAATAAGGCTTATCAAGTTGAAACTGGTGCTTTAAGACTTATGCATTTAGGTGCCACTTTGTCCCAAGTCTTATGCATTTCAATCCTTTCAAATTGGCTGGTCTGTGCCCCGAGATCTATGTAAAAGACAAAGCTATGTTCAGTTTATAATTTTTTCAATATATTTTTTCTAGCAATCTTTGTCTAATGCTTTAGTTTCGCCACAGTTGCAACTGGAAAATTTGTTTGGAAGTAATAAATCTCCTATTTAATTTATAAATATCATTTCATTGCGTATAAAGATGCCAACTGGAAAAAAATTGCAAATATGAGCATGTTACATTTCCAAATATTTTGTTATATTACAGGTGTTTGAGCATATACCTTCCTGTGCCAAACCATTCATGACTCACATGAAGCCTTCTGGGCCAGGTGATCATATGGTGTGTTGCTATTGTCAAAATCCAATTAAAAAGACGGATATACTTGGGAGTTCAGCAGATACTCAGAAAAATGGACAAACAGGAAATAATTTGACAGATTTTGATAAAATAAATGATACTGAAGATTCAACAAATGAGGAGCCTAAGGCAAAAGCTCCAAGACTTGACAGTGGCACAGTGAATTCAGGCAATTCCAATGAAGACAAAGATAGTGGCGATATAACTGCATCAAAAAGGCAGAGCTGTGAAAAGTGCACTTTATCAGCTGGTGTGATAGCTAGCAATCAAGATTATTCCCCACAATTCTGTCAAAGCATAGATCATTATTTGGAAAAACAACCAGAGGAATATCTAGAAAAATTCTTGTTGCCAGAGAAAGACCTAAAAAGATTTAAAGTTATGGATATTGTGCTACCAAGTTCCAGGAAAAGTTGCTGTTTTACTAAAAGGTACCTGTAGGAATATCCAGTTTTCTCTATAACTATAAAGAATTCTTTTACTCTTATATCTTTCTCAGGAAGTGAACAATTGAAGTCACGTTTTTAGGTTTAAGCTTTGTTTTAGAGTGGAGTTTATTTAGGTTGGGAATAAAATATCTTAGTATAGTTTTAGACTTAGTCCAACAAAAAATCTTAATGTTGAAGTCACTGTTTTAGATATGGTCATTACATGGAAGGAGCTGGATCCGTGTTCCAGATGGTTTTGGAGGAGGTGAGTATTTGACTTTCATCACTAATCACCATTTGCTTAAGAGAGGGAAATGAAATCTTTATATGTTATGTGTGCTTTTAAAAAGTATTTCTCATTTCTTTTACTTAATGCATTCTTCTTTTTGCTATTATTTTCATTCATTCTTTTATTCTGAAAAGATGAATACAAGCATTTTGAAAGATGACATGATACCAGAAAAGGCAGTTGAGTATATGGATGATATCAAGAAGCTAAAATTAAGATATTTCACTCCAAGAGAAATTGCCAACTTGATGTGTTTTCCAAAGGAATTTGGTAAGTACACACAAAGTAGATGGATATTTATCATTTGATCCTATACCACTTTTATTAAATCACATTGTATTTTTTGAAATCTTAATCCTAATTTGGCCACCATTTATCAACCTTTGATAGGCATAGTAAATACAAAGAGTGCTTATTTATATGAATCTGACATGTTATTAGCAAATGTGTTAAACAGAATCGAAAGGCCACCCACAAAGATGAATTTTCTAATTTTTTTAACCCACAGAATTCCCAAACAAGTTGAGCAGGAAGCAGTGCTACAGAGTTCTTGGGAACAGCCTTAACGTCCATGTAGTGGCAGTATTAATCAAGCTGATGACTATGAATGTTGTACAAAAAAATGACAGTTAAAAAACAATGGACAAACAGAACAATATTGGCTGTGGCAGTGACCAAGTTTATACTATGTTGATTTACACCGATAACCTTTGCTGCAATACAATGGGTGCTTTTACAATAAACAAATCTAAACCATTGTTTCGTCTTATTATTGTTAATAAATGCATTAAATCAAAATTGATAGATATTGGCATGTAGTTAACAAATTGTAAGTTATGTTGCACAAATCAATAAAACCTCAATAAAATTGACTTGAAATCAATAATGAAATTGCTAGAAATGATGCATCCGATCCAATGTTACACCATACATCTTTCAATTTTATCTTCCCAGGTCTTATCAAATATAACCTGACCATTCAATTCAGCAATAAGCTTGTTCAGTAAATAAAAATTGTCTCTGTCAGACCACATTTCACTATGAGTGGTGATTTTGGTATCAACAGCTGTCCATCTGTAACTGTAGACATGATCAGAGATTGCCTTGGCTGATTGTGGGTCATTTTCTTTAATGGTGAAGGTATCCTTCATCACTTCGTCTACTGTGGTACCTGAATCTGACATATAGTAGCATCCTCCATCATCGATGCATTGGATGGTGTGGATCCCAGATGTGACATCATACTGTATGGTCTTCTTGTATTGGCTGGCACGGTGCTCTAACACTGGCAGGTTTGGGCCCAGCCTTGGTGGTGCCGTCAGGGTGTCGAAGCCTGGTTGTTTGGGTGTATCATCACCTGACCCTATGTATACAGGCAGGTGTAGCAAGCTTAGTTGATTATCNGAACTTAAATTTGATTGTACCATATATATTTTTTGCAAAAGTTAAAAAATTCTTGTTGATTGCATTTTTACAGCTTGTCAAGCACAAAACTGGTGGCTGTGTCCCTTATTTTGTGTATGTGGGGGTCTATACGAATGCGCTTGCTCCAGCTGGTGGTACAATATTCGGAGGCGGTATCGCCTCTCTGATCCTCTAGTTTATAAATATCATTTCATTGCGTACAAAGATGCCAACTAGAAATTGCAAATGTGAGCATGTTACATTTCCAAATATTTTGTTATATTACAGGTGTTTGAGCATATACCTTCCTGTGCCAAACCATTCATGACTCACATGAAGCCTTCTGGGCCAGATGATCATATGGTGTGTTGCTATTGTCAAAATCCAATTAAAAAGTCGGATATACTTGCGAGTTCAGCAGATACTCAGAAAAATGAACAAACAGGAAATAATTTGACAGATTTTGATAAAATAAATGATACTGAAGATTCAACAAATGAGGAGCCTAAGGCAAAAGCTCCAAGACTTGACAGTGGCACAGTGAATTCAGGCAATTCCATTGAACACAAAGATGGTGGCAATATAACTGCATCAAAAAGGCAGAGCTGTAAAAAGTGCACTTTATCAGCTGGTGTGATAGCTAGCAATCAAGATTATTCCCCACAATTCTGTCAAAGCATAGATCACTATTTGGAAAAACAACCAGAGGAATATCTAGAAAAATTCTTGTTGCCAGAGAAAGACCTAAAAAGATTTAAAGTTATGGATATTGTGCTACCAAGTTCCAGGAAAAGTTGCTGTTTTACTAAAAGGTACCTTTTGGAATATCCACTTTTCTCTATAACTATAAAGAATTCTTTTACTCTTATATCTTTCTCAGGAAGTGAACAATTGAAGTCACATTTTTAGGTTTAAGCTTTCTGTTTGAGAGTGGAGTTTATTTAGGTTGGGAATAAAATATCTTAGCATAGTTTTAGACTTAGTCCAACAAAAAATCTTCATGTTGAAGTTATCGTTTTAGATATGGTCATTACATGGAAGGAGCTGGATCCATGCTCCAGATGGTTTGGGGGGAGGAGGTGAGTCTTTGACTTTCATCAACAATCACCATTTGCTTAAGAGAGGGAAATGAAATCTTTATAATTATGTTATGTGTGCTTTTAAAAAGTATTTCTCATATCTTTTACTTAATGCGTTCTTTTTGCTATTATTTTCATTCATTCTTTTATTCTGAAAAGGTGAATACAAGCATTTTGAAAGATGACATGATACCAGAAAAGGCAATTGAGTATATGGATGATATCAAGAAGCTAAAATTAAGATATTTCACTCCAAGAGAAATTGCCAACTTGATGTGTTTTCCAAAGGAATTTGGTATGTACACACAGATGGATATTTATCATTTGATCCTATACCACTTTTATTAAATCACATTGTATTTTTGAATCTTAATCCTAATTTGGCCACCATTTCTCAACCTCTTTGATAGGCATAGTAAATACAAAGAGTGCTTATTTATATGAATCTGACATGTTATTAGCAAATGTGTTAAACAGAATCGAAAGGCCACCCACAAAGATGAATTTTCTAATTTTTTTAACTCACAGAATTCCCAAACAAGTTGAGCAGGAAGCAGTGCTACAGAGTTCTTGGGAACAGCCTTAATGTCCATGTAGTGGCAGTATTAATCAAGCTGATGACTATGAATGGTGTACAACAAAATGACAGTTAAAAAACAATGGACAAACAGAACAATATTGGCTGTGGCAGTGACCAAGTTTATACTATGTTGATTTACACCGATAACCTTTGCTGCAATACAATGGGTGCTTTTACAATAAACAAATCTAAATCATTGTTTCATTTTATTATTGTTAATAAATGCATTATGGTCGCCATTAAATCAAAATTGATAGATATTGGCATGTAGTTAACAAATTGTAAGTTATGTTGCACAAATCAATAACACCTCAATAAAATTGACTTGAAATCAATAATGAAATTGCTAGAAATGATGCATCCGATCCAATGTTACACCATACATCTTTCAATTTTATCTTCCCAGGTCTTATCAAATATAACCTGACCATTCAATTCAGCAATAAGCTTGTTCAGTAAATAAAAATTGTCTCTGTCAGACCACATTTCACTATGAGTGGTGATTTTGGTATCAACAGCTGTCCATCTGTAACTGTAGACATGATGAGAGATTGCCTTGGCTGATTGTGGGTCATTTTCTTTAATGGTGAAGGTATCCTTCATCACTTCGTCTACTGTGGTACCTGAATCTGGCATATAGTAGCATCCTCCATCATCGATGCATTGGATGGTGTGGATCCCAGATGTGACATCATACTGTATGGTCTTCTTGTATTGGCTGGCACGGTGCTCTAACACTGGCAGGTTTGGGCCCAGCCTTGGTGGTGCCGTCAGGGTGTCGAAGCCTGGTTGTTTGGGTGTATCATCACCTGACCCTTTGTATACAGGCAGGTGTAGCAAGCTTAGTTGATTTTCTGTACTGCTATGAATAGTGAGAGTAGAAGTATCCTTGGATGGCCATGCTGAGGGCCAAAAGCAAGGGGCTATGGCCAACCTGATTTTATGACCTTTTGGTACAGTATACCCAGCTGAATGCAGCTCCAGTTGCACTGGGTATTGCTTACCAGGCACCATCTCAGCTAGATCCTCAAGACTGTGGCCCTCCCTGTGTGTCAGATTGAGCAACCCATAGGCAATCTGTTGGGACTTTCCATCTGGGAAGACATCACACAGAGTAGCTGCTAACTGACCAGAGGTACCATCTCTGATGGACACCACACAGTTGAGGATTGGAAACCCTGCAATGGAGATCCTGTCTTTAAGTGGTTTAGTATCCCAACACATGCTTAGTGCATTGCCCAGAGCCTGGTCTAATGGAAAGGAACCTGGGGCACCCATACTTAACCAGTCACCATTCCACATCCCTGCAGCAACATGGCTGCCTACACTTCTCTCTGCGCCAGACTGTCCGTGGGAGAGATCCTCATTCTTTTCCAAAGTTTGCTTGTTATTATTAAGGACCAGGGTCATTTTCTCAAGCTTACTTTCGTCATATACCATCCACTTCCCTGGCCAGGTGATAACACTAGGGGCTGGTGGTAGGCTGTCCTGTAGGTAGAGGCGAAGGTCAGGAAGGTCCATAGCTCCATTCTGGACTCCCTTCAGGTGATGGTCATACCACCTCAGACACTCATCCAGGTAAGCAATAGTTGGACCTGGAATGTTTTTTTTGTTTGTTTGTTTAGCTCAATTATTATAAGCAACAATAAATCAATATTTTTTTCTTAAAACGCTGTAAAAATGCAACTAAATTAAGCAATTATATATATATATATATATATACAACTGGAGAATCATCATTACCTGGGGTGCAAGCATCTGGCCAGTTATGTGGCCATGGTCCAACAATTCCTTTCACACATGGTAAGTTCTTCACCATTCTAAACACTGCATCAGTATAGCCATCAGCCCATCCTCCTGAAATAATTTATGTTGCCCTTTAAAGTAACATATGAAGTGAGTGTAGATTCCCTTTACCACAAATAAACCAATTCTACTATTTTCTTAAATGACTCAAATAAAGTTGGCATGGCAAGGCATAAACCCAATCAATCACTCGATTAACCATAATAAAGCTTTTAAACTGCACCTTCTTCAAATTTCTGGTTGTAACCTATTAAAGAGGTTTGAACTCCCAAGATGAAAGTACTTTGAGTTTGTTGATGACATTTTGTCTCTTTCACACACAGTACACTTGAAAAAAATATTTGAGCTGCATAACTACATATCTTGGCTTTCTCCGTCCCAAATGTGTCCATTAGATATAGCATAGGTCATGAGCTTACATATGCCCAGATTTTGCTGATTTAAGTGTGCACTGAAAGGGTCATCATATCAGGGCTTTATTAAGCTCAGCACCAGTGCTATACTTCATGGGCACATTTGGGACAAAAAAAGCCGAGGTATGTTTAGTTGCTCAGTTCACAAATTTTCTAAAATGTACTATGTGTGAAAGAGACAAAATGTTAGGGTTATCAATGAACTCAAAGTACTTTCATCTCGGTAGTTCTACCCCGCTTGTATTTAACCGTCCCTCCAGTTCATAATAGCCAAATTGGCAAAGCTACTGCTTTGCTAGAGTTATTCAAATGAACTGCTAAAACTGACAAAGGTTTATATATAGGACAAAAAAAGAGCAGGAAAAACCTGTTCAAATGTCATTTTTCAGGAAATATGGGGGGGTAACAACTAAAATTTAACATTCAATATGAAAAGACTTCAAAACTACTGACAGTGGATCTGCACAACAAAACATTTTTCATCACCGTATTATTAGCTCAACAGTGACATTTCTATGTGGCATATATTGCATGTCACATTGAAACCATGGTGTCTTATCTCAAGATGAAGCTCACTTTACCTATGGCAAGCACTGGACAAGTAACCTTGGAAAAATCTTCACAAATGGAGCCCTGTTTCCAAAAGTCATCCCAGTACTGGTGAGACATCCACTGTTTGGCCCAACATTCTCCTGCTTTTTCCAGGCGTTCAAGCCAGCTCTCCTTCCAGTTTGGAACATTGTCAGGATTTGGTGGCCTGGCATTGAAGACAAACATGACTGCAGCCCAACTCAGCATGCCATTACCTGAGGATAATTTTAACTAGTTTTTAATATTGATAGATTAAACCTGTTTTCCTCCTTCCTATTTTAATAGTATATTTCAAATAACTCTTCCCCTGAATCTCAAATTAGTAAAGTCTTTAAGTACCTGGTTGATGACTAAATTTCTGTGTTATGGTAAATGATTACAAAGTTAGAAGTTATTGCTATTATCATTATTTTTACTAAATGCTTACCTATGACACAACCTCCATCATAATGCATATCAGTCAGATATCTGTCGTCTGTGGAGTACAGAGATATCACAGCTTTGAGGGCTGGGGGCTGGTGGAAAGCTACTTGTAGACCATTGAATCCACCCCAACTTTTTCCATACATTCCTACAGCTCCATTACACCAATTCTGCCTGGAGATCCACTCAATGAGATCAATGCAATCTTGTTGTTCTTGAGGAAGGTATTCTCCATAGTATAAACCTTCTGAATCACCAGTCCCACGGTAATCAGCACGGATACAGGTGTAGCCATGGGATGTGAACCACACGTGTCGTGGGTGGTCACGTACTGCTGTCCAGTCACTTTTGCGATAAGGTAAAGCTTCAAGAATCACAGGCACTGGACTGAAAAATTAATGAAACACTGGCATTGCATTGCAATATGGCCCCTTAAAAACCTTTGTATTAAGTTTTGACTTATAGAACGTTTTAGCTTTTTATGTGCCTCCACCAGAAGTAAAATCCTGAATAATTTAGAGAAAATAAAGATGAGCAATTCAGCAACTGATTCTGTACAAAGTGCAACATGTTACACTGGAATCATGTTCCAAGTATTCAGCCAGATGTAACTGGTTGTTATAGGCAAAACTTTTCCTGTTTAACACTTGGCTGTTTATGTTACCTTAAACAAGTGATTCGAGAAGAAAGAAATATCTACCTTTTAATTGGATCAAAGTCCTCATTGCCATGGTAGACAGCTTCATGTTTGACACCGGCAAAGTTTGTGCCCTCTAGTGATCTTACTGGGAGCCATATTTTGAGGGCCAGTTTGGTGCCATCTTGCAAGGGGACTTCATAGTGCGGTATGACTGTGACTGGATGGTTTCCAAAGCCACTTTTTTCACCAATTTCTTTGTTGATCAGCAAAGGCTGAGACATTCTAAAATATATAAATAAATGTGTGTGTGTGTGTATGTGTGTGTATAACACTTTTTATCTCAGCTTAAAACTTTGGAATCAGTAACTGCATGCATGTTACGTCATTGTACATGTGAAGTAAGTATACCCTTGTATGTCAGTAAGAAAACAGTTTTGAATGATGGTTTAAATCCCACAAAAATAAAACAAAGCTACTCAAGCTACTATTCACTTTACCTTCACTTGAAAAATACGTACACTTTTGCTACGATCAGTTACACCATATTTTGACCTAGCTAACACTGAAGTGGGTGTATCTATTGACATGACCCAATTAAATGAATTCAGCACTTCACTGCATGTATACTGGTACCACTAGTGTGTAATGATACTGAACTTTGCACATATCAAGTACTCGGTGAAATCATCTGGGCATGAAGAATGACTGCAAGCAAAACCATTTTCACATGGGTCACTTCACAAAAAAGAGAACATTTTGTTTAATATTTGCATAATCCTGACTTATCCCTTTATTTTCTCTGCTTTACACTACCGGTATATAGTACCCTCCAATATGGAAAGAAACCAACAGTAATTAAAAAGTGATATAGGACAATTATGCAAATATTACACATAATTTTAGTGTCACTGATCCCTCTCAATGTTCTCTTTGTTGTAGAATAAGTACATTATCATGTGTTCATTTTAGTTTGGCCTTCTCTACATTTAGCATTATATATTTTGCCTAATCAATGCAGATAATTAGAACATAAGCAAAATAATAAACATTTTATTACCCGTTTCCCCCACTACTATAAATATGCTGCAGTTAAATATATAGCCAGCTCTTTTTCATTTTTCCCAAAAATCAAATATAGTTTATTCAGTTTCAATGGAAAAATATGGACCATGTTTTTTGTGCTTTGTGTGGTTCTTTTCCCCTTTATCCACTCAGACCTACAAAGGCCCACCTCTGAATGGGGATTTAGAGGCACTCCCTTGAAACATGACTACAATTTGGTATCTTTTCAATAAATTGTTATCATGCTTCTGTGGTTCCAAGACAAACTGTGGGTAACTTTTCCCAATTCTGTGAGCTCAAATTATTTTTGGGAAGGGATAAGGAGCAGGTTCTGAAATTCTGCTTTGGAAAAGGACAGGAGCCTTATGGGATACCACTTAACAGAGTAATTCAAGAGATTCACCTTTCCATTTATGATGCAAATGTAAGAAATCCCATAAGTAAATGGTTTTTGACTATAATGCACTTTAGTAGAGATCTCATTTTGAATTTCCATAGTATTTTAAATGCTGTTGAAACTAATAAAGGTAGATGGAGCAACATGTTTGGAAGAATGTTTTGCACATAGATTGGTATTTCATTTGATTAATAATGCATAAAAGATAGAGTCTCAGTAAGTAATCCAGTGATTGACAATTCAGTTTATTACCTTCTCGATCCTAATTTGATATCAAAAGTTATCTATGCAAATTACTCAAAGACAAAGTCATAAAGACTAGACCAGAGATATAGGCTGAGCAATTTTTAATTACCCTCACCTACAGTATTCACTCATTCATACAGTATAAAAAATCCATAGATGCCCTCAAAGTGGAGTGCATGCATCACCATAAACTAATTTTTCTATCACAGCCCTTTAATAAATGTAATTGCTTTAAAAAAATAGTGCTTTAATATTTTTGAAATAATACTGTATTCACCTGCCAGTATAAGATTATACTTATCATTAAAGAGATTTGATAAATTCCAAAATTAGTATTTATATACTTCAGTGCATCACTATTTTTAAAATGCATTTTAATTGCATGAAGATGATACTCTCTAACACCTAATGTCATTTTCACTCCAGTGAACCCAGCAGATGTACATGTAGACTGTTACCCCTGTTTTCCTTTACTTAGACACTTTTGCAGTTTGTCTTTTAATTCACTTGGAGAAAAGACTCCAAACTCTGTCACAATCCCTCCTGTCACCAGCTCATGTGGTGTGACATCGAAGGCTGGGTTCCAGCAACCTATTCCTGGAACAGAAAGGGAAAATGGTGACTTTATACAAAACACATGATTAATTAATACAAATCTACTGCAGATACATTTTTCCCTTAAATAATTAAGATAACCTGGTGAGACATAATATTTCACCAAAAATGACATTTATGTTTATCATCTTTTTATATCAACTTTGTTAGCATATCATACAGCAGTTGACAATGTTTTTTAAGTAAATTTTTAAGTACTGGTAGTTCAAAACCTTATCAATATTATAACACCGTCATTCTAGATAAATCCGAGTACATAAATTACCCAACTAAATATGAGCAAAAAAAAAAAAAAAAGATTTAAGTAGTTGGAAATATCTAAAAAATTTAATCCTTTTAATCTGAGATGTAAGCTTGAACATCATATTGAATTCGTAATTTTGTCCAGGGTTTAAGGAAGTGACCTGTTTTCCTGTGAGACACCAAGACATTTTTGTGAGTCACATAAAATGCAATACCTTAAAAGGTCGTATACTGAAACAACTGAGGTGTGTAGAATTAATTAGAAATTACTCTACATACCTTCTGCAGCAATTCTCTGTCCCTTAACAGTGAACATTTCATTGTGTGGACGCTCTTCAATCTTGATCTCATCCCCCGTCTGCAAGTTCAGATCAATAGATGTGCTTGGGGCAGCCACATAGAAGGGAATTTCATGATATTTAGCACATATGGCCAGTTGATAAGTCCCTATTTTATTGGCCACATCACCATTTGCTACAATTCTATCTGCACCAAGAATAATGGCACTGACTCCTTTCTTTTTGATGAGAAAAGCAGCCATGCTGTCACAGACAAGAGTGGCTGGCATTTTGTCATGGACTAACTCATAGGCTGTTAGTCTGGACCCTTGGTTGTATGGTCTGGTTTCTGTGCAGTAGACATGGTCAATTTTGTTTTGTTCAAATAGGGCACGTATGACACCTGCAGAAAAAGGAAATTATGTCATGAAATCATTCATAAAAATACAATAAACATCACTGTTTTTTTTCTTCAGATATGTCAAGATGCTGTAAACTTCTTGATTTCATTTTTTAAAAACAACATATTTAAAATTAAAACTCATGGAAAGACTTTCAAAAAGCCAAGAAAGCTAGCTTAGAAAAGAATGATATAAGATAAAATAAGTGAATTATGAATTGCCAAAACGTGCCAAGTTGTTGCCAAATAATTTTATATAGAACTCACCAAGAGCTGTTCCATATCCTGCTGTGGCCAGAGAACCTGTATTACAATGGGTCAGTATCCGTAATGGCTTGTCTCCAATATTTTGTAACATGTGGGCACTACCATGCCGTCCAATTGATTTGTTATCCTCCACATCTTTCCTCAACATTTCTTCTGCTGCTTCTATGATCCTATGATAAAAAAGGATAGATTTCCTTAAACACAGGACATTTTTTATTCAAAGGGTTTTTTTCTAATAGCTGGTGCAATTTGGTGCATTACAGATTACTAGTTTGAGACTCTGGAACATGACTCCTTGCTCCCTTTTGGAAAGGAACTGCAACAAAATCAACAATTTAATTTAGGAAAATTAGTATTTAACACTGAAGTCACAATCAGGCAGTTCCTTCATCTTTTTTACCTCAATTTCATGTCCTCTGCCCCTAACTTCTGATCAAGGTATGTTGTGCAGAATTGTTTGAACTTTATGGCAGAATCTGAAATGTTGACAGCAGTTGGCCTTGCAGTGACCAGGTAGTTCATCCTCTCTAACACCCAGGAAACCAGTTCATCAGGAGTTTGAAAATTCTTTTGGTGTAATTCAGTAGCAAGGCTCAGTGAGGCCACAACACCAATGGCTGGAGCTCCACGAATCTAACAAAATTTTAAAAGGGAAAGTGTAAAATTAAAATATATATGATATAGATATAGATAAAAATTTGTTTTCTTGGAAACAAAAAAAAAATCCTGTAAATTTCAGTGATTTTCTGTTTTAACATTTTGGTTTACCTTATTCAAAACTGCTGAGAAAATAGGAATATATAGACCCGTTTTAAAGGTATAATTTTTTTTTGTTCCCATCACTAGTTAACTTTACTAGTCTCAAGCTCCATTAGTTGAGTGACTCAAAAACTAGAAACTAGAACTCTAAATCAAGTTTACGGGTTGTGATTCTCTAGGAAAACAACCAAAAATATACATGTGGATATATTCTCAGCTTTTAGTTTTACTTATTGCTGCAGCAAGACTTCGGCTATCTCAGGTGATTCCTATCATTCTAATAGTGTCCCAGTATAAGGACCCTGAATAATATGAGGCAGGCAAGTAGATGAAATGTTGTTTGGGCTATTTTATCAGGGAATCATATTGTAGACTAGACAGGATACAATTTCCTGATTTTATTCAGGAATCATGAGTCGATTTTTTTTCAAGATGTTTCTAGGTAATACCACTGTGATGTAAAACTAAGCATTCTTTTAAAATTTTCACTGGTTTAAAGATATTGTCACCCTTCGCCCATAACTCGTTTACTGCATTACAATATATATTAGATCTTTAAGAGGTCATATACTGAAATAACTGAGGTAACAGATAAATAATAAATTAATTAACATTTACATATATGTCATCTTTATGTCATAGTTGCGCTATTTGAGTAAAAACAAAAAAATTGGTTTCTCAAATTTCTCTTTTAACTGAGCAACCACAATCACCATTTCAACCCTATTTAATGACACCGTTTAGTACTTCGACACCCTGCCAGTGATTGTTCTTTAAAGTCTTAGTTCTGATTTTATTGTTCATAAAGAAAAATAATGCCTTTGTTTAATGATAATCTGTAATTAGGGGCTCATAACTCCTTAACAAAAATATTTAAACCAAAATGACAGCACGGGATTGTAACCCATACACTCAACTCTGCCAATTTTCAAGATAAAATCTTGTACAGGGATGAAGTTATACACTGATTGCTATCTCACCACAAAATAGAAAGGTGTTAAATTGACGATTTAAGCTTTGACCTGCCTAGGGTTTTTCATTGTTTTAAATCAGCACAAAGACAGCTGCATTATTAAATAATTAGATGCAGAAAAAAACTCATTTTTGGTATCTTGATGATAATATCCTTCAGGATATCGTAACCCTTGTAATAAAGGGATTATGACAATGACCATGCTTAAACCCTTTATTATCACCCATTGTTTTACTTTATCAAATCTAAACTAAGACTTTTAAGAAAAATTGCTGGCAAGGTTTTGGATTACTAAATGGTGATCTTGGGTACTTAGGTAAAGGAGAAATTTGAAAAAACATTTTTTTTTTGTTTTTACCCCAAAATCGCAATTATGACCGACGTCACCCGTAAAATGACATATTTGTAAATGTTCATTAATTTTGTCACTGAACACTGAACATTTATTTATTACCCAAATAATGTATGAAAGGCAGTATATATAAGGAGTTTTGGGCGAAGGGTGACAACATCCTTAATATGGTCCATAATGTGAGTGAAAAACAATGTCGGCAGGAGTCGACCAGCTTGGACTAGCGTGGATAGCATACAAAGATCGGTCACGCTGTACTGGATACGTAAGCTATAACCGCTAATACTCCAGGTGATTTAATAGCCGGTCTGACACTATTTGATTGATGTTTCACTGGCTGTAGGTTGTAGGCCAAACCTGCATTTTGTTGATGGCGCTCCACCCCTCATTTACGTCTTTAATTTCAATATATTTGGTCATTTCCGGAAGCAGAAGTTGGTCAAGGATCTGTAGCTTCCCTCTCGTATACAATATTGAGTCGACAGACGTCTGTTTCTCTGCATTCGACATTATCGATAATTACACAAGCTGCGTTTGAAGCGTACTCTTTACCCTCTTGACCTCTTTGACCGGCTTGTACATGTAGCCTCGGTTCAAAATAAATCTAAACGAGGTACATAGAGTGACAGTTCAAAACAAATCTCTCTCTCACATATATAGGGCCTACATCTGCATAAAAAATTATATGTAAAACGTAAAATGAGAGAAAGTAATTAGTTTATAGGCCTAGTCATCAAAGCTCTCAAATAGGCTTCAGATAATTCTTTTTCTTGTCACTTTTGAAAATTATTTTGAACGTAGTATAATTTCATTTACCAGCTACCTGGTAGGCCTATCTGTAGGGGCCTACTTTTTTTTTTTTTTTTTTTTTACATGGGAAATTTGAAGGAAAGCTTGCATTTTCAGCAGGGAGGGGTCCAAGCTGCATGGAAACTATTTAATCTGCTAAAAGTAGAATCATTTAAACATTCGTCGAGGAGATTACCTATGAACGACAGTATTTACATCCGTCAACAAGCAATAAAAATAATAAAAATAAAGTTCAAAATAAAGTTGTTTATATTTTATAAAAAACACATAAAACGAAAATCGTTTTCCCGTCTCAGGTTTAAGAAAGATCAAAAAGATAAATAAAAATGAAATAAATTAGAAAAACGCATTTAGCGGTAGGAATAAAAAGAAGGGTAATTGTTAAAACTACTTTTTGCTATAAAAAAAGAGATGTTAGACAAAAGCTTTTTAAAAACCGCTTGCTTCCTCTAAAAGTCTACCATGATTTGCTTGTGATAAATGAAAAAAAAGATTAACAGGGTGAGTGGTGTCGTTCATAATCTTATCGCTTTTGGAAGCCACCCTTTCTATGTAAATGCTTCTCAGAGTGGAGAGATCCAATTCCAAGTGGTTGTCAAGATCGTGAAGGAGTGCTGAACAACAGTGTTATCGATGTAAACAGACTCGTTATCACTTTCATTCTGTCTAACACCTAGCACAAGGTCATTATTGTTACGCCATTCGACAACCGATCCAATGCAACGTCCTCAGGGGCGGATCCAGGGTTATTTGAAGGGGAGTCTGCAGATGCAAAGCATACCCCCCCCCCTTGGCGTGAAGTTCGGGGCCTCGAAAAAAATTGGTGTTTTAGAGGGCGAACGCTGCCATTTGGTACGATTTAGAATTGTGATTTAGCTAAAAATATATATATAATTTCAAGATGGGACTATTGATGTAATTTTTTTACCCCCACCCCCCTAAATCCGCCACTGGTCCTGATGCGGGCCTGTATTCAAAACCAATGCATTAAAAAGGCCCGCCTCTAATAACAATTTTAAAATCCAATCACATAAAAAACTGAAAATTTTAGCTCGTCAGTTAAAATATTAAAATTAAGTTTTTCTTTATTTAAGTTAGGCCTACAAGCAGAACCGCAGTCGAAATAAAATCCTTGCTTAAGTGCTCTTCTTCTGAAAGTGTTCTAATACCTACAATGCTCGATGCATATTGACGTTGAGTGTAAAGTCATATAGACCCTCATGCCTTCACGGAGTTCTCGCATCGTTTGACCAACTATCTTGACCGATCCAGGTTTATTTGAAGGGGGAGTCCGGTTCTGAGAATTGACAGGCCTCGGATGCGAAGCCGACCCTGGCCCCCTTGGCGTGGGGTTTGGGGCCTGCAGAAGGGCACCGAAAGGTGTGCCATTTGGTACGGTTTAGAACTATTATTCACCTAGTCGAAATTTTAATTTCAGGAGGGGAGTATTGGTGTGATTTTTTTCCAGAAATTTAAGGGGGATCAGGGCCCGTATCTCGAAAGCATCGTGCATTGCGACCGTGCGCAAGCGTCTCGATTCCATAACTCGCCCATATTCGCCCATATAATACATTGTAACCTCTATGTGATATCGCTATTCGCAGGACACGATGCTTTCGAGATACGGGCCCAGGGCCCCTAGACCCCCACCCCCCTAAATCCTACACTTTAACCCGAATTGTGATACTCTCTCCTTAATGTAAAAATATTCTGTAAATAACGGCTCCCGAAAGCTACAATTATATAATTATATTAAAATAGGCCTATAATTTTTTAAACTCCGTACTAACAAAGAATTTCTCTGATATAAAACCTACAGTTTAAAAGAAATGTTTTTTGCATTACAGTGCATAGGGGCCTATTTATTATTGTTTCTAAGCACTGGTAGATCCAATTTCATTCTTCCACACTGCTGTCTATCTCTCACACAAGATAAATTGCCCGAAAAAAGTATAATATATGGATATCCTTATATACACGCTAGCCATTTGCATATTTAAAATGCGTTCGAGTGCTGGCATTTCATTCTGCCGTTGAACTAAACTATAAGATGAAAGTAGGTGGGTAATTTGACCCTGAGAAGATTCGCAAAATACACCGGACAGATTACTTGGAAAACTTCGTGTGATCTTTCTTGGGGTTTGTTCGATGGTGTACTTGAGTGTGGTAGAGGAGACGCCCTTGGTTCGCAACACATTCAAACACATATAGATACAACGCAATTGCTTATTTCACTGCTATTTTAATTAACGTTGTTGACCGCTATCTGTCATATGCGGTATCTTCTTTCTTCAAAGATTATGAGGATAACCGCGTTGGTGGCGTTAGATGAGCTGCGCTGAAGTTTTAAAGAAATGCACTGTGCTTTTTTCACTAAACAGACCCTTGCACAAATTTCACGTGTTAAAGTTCAATTTTCCGTAGTCTTAATAACATTACTGATTGCACATAAATTCTTTTAACATCAATCAGTTTATTTTTGGTATACCAAGTTGGACACATGACTTGAAGTCTGTCTTCAATGGTAGTCATGCGTAGTACATGTCTTGTTCTTTAAAAGATATATTCTATATAGACTTGTGTTCCGTCTTGCATGAAGGTTGCTCTCACATTAAATAAAAAAGCAAGGCGGAAATTGCGAAACTAACGGGAAAGCGGTCATCAACATTTCTATCGATAACAATGGGCATGGTTTTACGCTGTTAGCCTCGTCCACTTCATGTGAAGAAATCGCCCCATTATTGTAGTAACATTTCATGCATCTCTATCAAACAGATGCTGCATGATTCATCGTATTGATCTCAAATAAGTAATAGGGATTACAATGTTACAGTTAAGAAACATCTCAGTGAGGGGCCAACAATTCATGGAAAAAAAGACAATTAGCGGGGTGGAGGGGGGACTGGGGGTTAACGGCAAATATTGTGTACTTTAAGTTTTAAGTAGGGGGTCGGTGGCTTTGGGTTTTATTTTAATGATACATTTGGCCTAAAGAGTTCACTCAGCCCCTCGACTCCTTCCC